CTGGTAATTTTCCATGTTAAGAAATCCCCAGAGTAAAGCTCTTGTCTTTCCTTTTAAAACAACAACTTTTGCTTATAAACTTTCATCTACTTATTACAAAAGTAATACATGTTTATTTCAGATAAGCAGAAAGAATATCACTACTGCCCAATAGTAACTGCTGTCAACATTTGGCTTGGTGACCCACTGTCTTTTTTTCTTTGCATCTAGTTTTTAACTACTGTTTTTAACTGCCCTTCCAACTTAATATAGCATGTGCATTTCCCAACATCCTACCACATTTACAGAGTCACTTTCTGTTGTGTAATATTTTATCATCCAGAGAAAGCATAATTTAGCCAGATTTTAATTGTTGGCTATCTGGATGATTTCCCTCTTCCTTTTTTTATGTGTTGCTCTCTAACAAACATCTTGTCGATAAATATTGTTCACATCCATGATTATTTCCTTAGGTTAAATTATTAGAAGTCAAATTTCAGGTCAAAGGCTTTATAAAGTTCCACATACAGTCAGCCCTCCATTTCCACAGATTCCACATGAATGAATTCCACCAGCCACAGATTGAAAAGCCTACGATGGTTGCATCTGTACTCAACCTGTACAGACTTTTTTCTCTTGTCATTATTTCCTAAAAAATACAGTATAACAACTGTTTACTGTTTATATTTACATTGTATTAGGTATTATGAGTAATCTAGAGATGATTTAAAGTATGTGGGAGGATGTGCATAGGTTATGTGCAAATACTACGCCTTTTTTATAAGGGACTTGAGCTTCCACAAATTTTAGCATCCACAGGGGATCCTAGAACCAATCCCCCATGGTGATTGAGGGATGACCGTATAACCCTCTCCAGGTCCAGAACTTAGCTCCAGAAACGTTATATGATGTTAGTTTACACCACGAGCATGTGCATTTGCGCACACCCCTACCTAAACTGGGTGTTAATTTTGTGATCTTCAGCCTTTCTCTCAGTCCAGCTTCGCTGAGGCACTTGACTGATTTCTGCTCTCATGCGGAGCTGAGCTGATTCTTGGCCAAGATTCAGGCATTCAAGTAGTTTGAAATAAATTTTATCTCTGGATAAGTAAATATAAAAATCACCTATAATCCTACTGATCAAAGATAACCACTGTGGACATTCTGCCACAATATCTTTTCTCTAGATTTTATTGGATTTAAATGTGACTTGGTGGGTTTCTTTCAGTCTCATTCCTTTGTTCTTTTGTATGCAGTTCTGCGAGAATGCCTGTGCTCAGTATTCAGCTTGCTCGTTTACTCTTGATATGTGTCCATTCTGCTTTTCCATCGAGTTTTTTCTTTCTACAACTATATATATATTTTATTTTCATGAGTTGTAGTTAGTTCATTTTCTCATTTTCAGGATGTCATGTTTATCCCCCTGTGGATAACTCTGACTTTTTTTATTGAGATATAATTGACATATAACATGAGTTTCAGGTGTACAACATAATGATTCGAATGATTGCTGCAATAATCCTCACACATAGTTATAATAGTTTTTCTTGTGATGAGAACTTTTAAAGTCTACTCTTTTAGAAACTTGCAAATATACAATACAGTATTATTAACTGTAGTCACCATGCTGTCCATACATCCCCATGACTTACTTATTTTATAACTGGACATTTGTACCTTTTGATCCCCTTCAAACACATTTGGCCCACCCCATACACTCCACCTCTGGCAACCACCAATCTGTTCTCTGTATCTATGAGTTCAGTTTCGTTTTGTTTTTCTGGATTTTTTTTTTTTTTAGATTCCACATATAAGTGAGATCGTATATTTCTCTGTCTGACTCACTTTACTTAGTATAATGCCCTCAAAGTCCATTCATACTGTTTCAAATGGCAAGATTTCATTCTTCTTTATGGCTGAATAATATTCCATTGTGTATGCATATCGTGTTTTCTTTATCCATTCGTCCATAGATGGACATTTAGATTGCTCCAGGTCTTGGCCACTGTAAATAGTGCTGCAGTGAACATGGAGGTGCACAGGGCTTTTTTGAGTTAGTGTTTTGGTTTTCTTCTAATAAATACTTAGAAGTGGAAATGCTGGATCTCATGATAGTTCTATTTTTAATTTTTTGAGGAACCTTCAGACTGTTTTCCATAGTGGCTACACCAATTTGCATTCCCACTATCAGTGTACAAGAGTTCCCTTTTCTCCACATCCTCACCAACAGTTGTTATATCTTCTCTTTTTGATGATAACCATTCTAACAGGCGTGAGGTGATACCTCACTGTGATTTTGATTTGCATTTCCCTGATGATTAGTGATGTTGAGCATCATTTTATGTACCTGTGGGCTGTGTGTCTTCTTTAGAAAAATGTCTATTCAGATCCTCCACCGATTTTTTAATTGGATTGTTAACTTTTTTGCGATTGTATGAGTTCTTTATATATTTTGGGTATTAACCCCTTATGAGATACATGATTTGCAAATATTTTATCCCATTTGCTAGGTTGTCTTTTTGTTGATGATTTCCTTTGATGTGCAGAAGTTTTATGGTTTGATGTAGTCGCATTTGTCTATTTTTGCTTTTGGTGCCTTTGCCTTTCGTGTCAAATCCAAAAAATCATCGCCAAGACAAATGTCATGGAGCTACCATCTAGGTTTTCCTCTAGGAGTTTTATGGTTTCGGATCAAGTCTGTAATCCATTTTGAGTTAATTTTTGTTTACGGTTAATAGAGTGGTCCAGTTTCATTCTTTTGCGTGTGGCTGTCCAGTTTTCCTAACACCATTTATTGAAAAGACTTTCCTTTCCCCATTGTATATTATTGGCTCCTTTGTTGTAAATTAATTGACCATATAGACATAGGTTTATTTCTGGGCTTTCTATTCTGTTCTGTTGATCTGTGTGTCTGTTTTTATTACAGTACCATACTGTTTTGATTACTATAGTTTTATAATATAATTTGAAATCTGGGAGCATACCTTCAGCTTTGTTCCTCTTTCACGAGATTGCCCTAGCTATTTGGGATCTTTTGTGGTTCCATACGAATTTTAGGATTATTCTATTTTCGTGAAAAATGCCGTTGGAATTTTGATAGAGATTGCATTGAATCTGTGGCTTCTTCAATTTCTTTCATCAATGTCTTATAGTTTACAGTGTACAAGTCTTTCACCTGCCTGGCTAAATTGATTCCTGGTATTTTATTCTTTTTGACATAATTGTAAATGAGATTGTTTTCTTAATTTCTCTTTCTGATAGTTTGTTATTAGTGTATGTAAATGCAACAGATTTTTTTATATTGATTTTGTATCCTACAACTTTACTGAATTTGTTTATCAGTTCTAACAGTTTTTTGGGGTCTTTAGGATTTTCTATATATAATCTGCAAATAGTGACAGTTTTACTTCTTCCTTTCTGATTTGGATGACTTTTATTTCTTTTTCTTGTGTAATTGCTCTGGCAAAAATTTCCAATACTATGTTGAATAAAAGTGGGGAGAGTGGGCAATCTTGTCTTGTTCCTGATCTTACAGGAAAAAGTCAGCTTTTCACCACTGGGTATGATGTTAGCTGTGGGCTTGTCATATATGGCGTTTATTATGTCGAGGAGCATTCCTTCTATGCCCACTTCGTTGAGAGTTTTTATCATGAATCGATGTTGAATTTTGTCAAACCTTTTCCTACCTCTATTGAGATGATTGTATGACTTAAAAGCCTTTATTTTGTTAATGTGGTGTCACATTGATCTTGTGGATGGTGAACCATTCTTGCATCCCTGGAATAAATCTCACTTGATCAGAGTGTATGATCTCCTTTTAATGAGTTGGTGAATTGGCCTTGCTAATATTTTGTTGAGGATTTTTTCATCTAACTCTGATTTTTAAAAGAATTGTCTTCTCTTATCTCTGTCACTTCTCCTTCCTCTTTCATTTTTCTACTTGTGGAATGTATCTTTCTTTCTCAACCTTCTCCTTAAATGTTTGCTGATGCTTGGCTATATACTTATCTGAGTGCCCAAGGCTTCTGTTGGGCTGTTTGTCAACGCTGTTTCTCTTTATGCTGTTGTCCCTGAGGTCGTGGAGAAGGCATGTGAGGTCCTGCTGGGCTTCAGGGCTCCCATATCTCCTGAGTGTCAGCAGGTGCTCTGGGCTGCCCCATCGCCTTCAGCAAGCTTAAGCGCCCTGGCCTTGGGGTAAAAGCTGCTGCCTTCTCCCTGCTCATAGGGATGGGAGGGAAACCGACTTACCCAGCACTTCCAAATACAGTTCCTCAGACAGGCAACCTCCTTGACGTAACCAAGGACCCTCCTCCTCCTTGGCTATGTGACTGCTAAGCTTGGTGCGTTTGCTTACCCTCCCACCTTGTACAGAACCTCCTCCTGCGTGTGCTGTGGGCTGTGGTCTCCTCAGGCTATCTGATCCTCATCTGCTTTCTCTCTTTCAGTATTTCTCCACCTTTCTAGGCCGTTGAAGACATTCTTTCTTGTCTTCTAATGCTATTAAGGATTCTTTTTTAATCCTTCTGTTATTTCTGGGGATTTTTGGTGGAATAGAGAAGTCTGTTTAGCATGTCATTCAAACACTTTTTGTTTCTATTATTCAGACTATCAGGACCCGTGAGTTGTTATTAAGAGCACAGTCCTGGAGTGAGGTACACATGGATTTGAATCTCAGCTGTTCTTCTTACTAGCCCTGTGACTTTAAGTGCTTTTCTTAATCTCTCTGCGCCTCCCTTTCCTTGTCTGTTAAATGAGGATGGTCACTGTTGAGGCCTCAGTGGCTCAGGCACACAGAGCCCTCAGCAGGGCCTCTAGCAGAGTGACCACGCAGGGTTTAATCTTTTGGTTATTTTTATCGTTGTTTTTATTCTCAGGTTTCTTGTTAAGCTAGCCTGATTAATAGAGGTCCGCAGAGAGCCCCTTTTGTGTCCATCTCTTTGGGACTCAGAATCTCCTTCCAGCTCCTCTCCCAGCGTCACCAAGAACAAGCAGGCTGACGCCCCCTCCCGTTCTCTCTCCAGCCCAGCTCCACCGGCTGGAAGGGCTGAGGACCATCGGTGTCACCACCAATGGCATCAACCTAGCCCGGCTGCTGCCTTCGCTTCAGAAAGCTGGTCTCAGTGCCATCAACATCAGCCTGGACACGCTGGTGCCGGCCAAGTTTGAGTTCATCGTCCGCAGGAAAGGTGATCAGATGTGGCACAGAGTGGAGGGTGTCCCTCCCAGGGCCCATGTAGCTGGGGGGCATGTGACTGGTGACTGTGCTAGGCTAGGGGCCTGGTCCCTCCCTCTGTGTGTCTGGGCTATAAATAAACCTAGGCCTTTATTTCTCACCCTTCACCCTCACCAAATGCCCCTCTCACTGTAGCCATACCCTTGGGGACATTTTGGAATCAGATGTTAAGAGCTAGAGTGCCCAACCTCTCTCTACCTGCGCCCAGTTTGCCCAGGGCTGAGAGGATTTCCAGAACACAGGCCTTTCAGTTTTAAAACCAAGATGGTCCCTGGCAAACTGGGATGCATTGGTCACCCCATAATGAGCTCTGAGGAAATGTGGGGAGCGCAGGGTGGAAGCAACTGCCCTGAGATGCCAGAGTCAGGGCGAGCACTGGCAGGTGGGGCCCCCGTACCCCAAGTGATGCTCCATGTCCATCCTGGATATAAGCCTCTTCTTTCACCCGCTGCAGCAAGCACACCTGCTGAGCTTCAGCACGGAGGCTGGAGGTGGGGAGAGAGAGCAGCCCCGAGCCCCAGGTCTCGTTAGACCAACCCTCCCCCAGTGTCTTTTGGGCCGTGGGCCTCATGTTGGGGCAGAGATTCTCGCACCAGGGTGTGACTCCCTGTTTACACCCATCTGTGTGCTGAGGAAGCACCCATGGAGTCCTTGCCTGTAAAGGGCTGCTCCAGGTGCTGTGGCGAGGACAGAGAGACACAGGACATTGCCCTGCCTTACAGACTTCTAAGGGTCGAAAGGTGTGATGTCGCTGGCCAGCTTTGCTTGTGGTGTCAATGAAAGTGCTGCAGAGAGGGAGAGAGAACTCCTAGCAGGGGAGGACTAGGAGGGCTTCAAGGAGGAGGTGTGGACACTGGGCCTTGAGGAACTGGGTTGAGGAGGGGATTTGGATCAAGGAAACTCACTCTGAGAGGGAACGTCAGTCAAGGCCCGGTGAGGGCTCTGAGGTGGGAAAGTGGAGGGTGTGTTTGCGGGCATCACACACACATACACACTCTGTACCTCGTCTCCCTTCCTGGATTGAGGATTGGAGACAGTTTATCCTAACGTCAGATCTGCCTTTCCACTCATACTCCTGTGTCCACCACCTCCTTTTGGAGGAAGAGTGCTTTACAGAAGAGAAACTTCTAGATCATTTGATGGAAAAGCTGCACTTCCCTCGCTTTGCCCTCCCTCGCTCGGCCATCCAAAAATGCCACCAGGAAACCACAGAGGCCATCACTGGGCCACCCTCTCTCTGGTGCCGTCCCAGCTGTGAACCACACATGATCACCAGGCTGTGCAGTCTTGGGGGAGATGGGTGGGGCCGGCATGCAGTAGGCGCTGAAATGTTTGGATGCATGAGTGAGCTGGGGGTGAGGAGAAGCCAGCGTGGGATCACGTTTGCTGTGGGTTAACCACAGAGATAGGTGAGAACCACACCCTTAGTAATCGCTCGCCAGCCCTGGCCCAGCAGCTGCGCCGAGTAGGTGCCTGGGGAGCATATGTAGAGTGAATGAACGGACGGACTGTCGAGGAGCAAGCCCTGACAGGGTCAGGAAACCTGCCTTCTGAAACACAGGGTGTGAGGGTTCTAGCAGGGTACTGCCTCTCTCTGGGCCTCAGTTTCCCCTCTAGACTCTGAGAGGGTTCACAGGGTTGGCACATTACAGCCCACCAGCCAAATCCAGCCCGGTGCCTTGTTTTTCCCACAGCCTGCAAGCCAAGAATGGATTTTGCAGAGAACATTTGCAATCAATTCAATGATAGGGAACATTAATTATGTTAATGTGTTAACAAATTAAGCAAAGTGTTATCCCTGCAAAAAGAATTCCATTCTTCCATTCTCCTTGTAGAGCTATGTCACAAAAAATTATGCTCAGTTATTATCATATTCCAAACTTAGTCCATGAAATCTTTATGACACGTACCTCCATAATATCCTCAATTAGGCCTGCAAAGCCTAAAATGTTTACTACCTGGTCCTGGACCCCGTGGTCTCCCAGGCTCCTCCTAGCTCTGGTGCTCCCCTGTGGGTGTGAGGGGGCAGGGGGAGGGGGTACGCGCCTGGACCCTTCCTTCTCTCCCTCCCCACAGGTTTCCACAAGGTCATGGAGGGCATCCACAAGGCCATTGAGCTGGGCTACAACCCTGTGAAGGTGAGGGCATGCCGCTCGGCTGACCCCCGACTTCCTGCCCCCTCCACCCTGGCTGGGCCTTCTGCCAGCTCCTGGTGCCATGACAGCTCCCAGCCCTGGCCACTGCAGCCACAGTGTGCCCCTCACCCCTTCCTTGCCTGCTGCATCCAACCCTGCCCCCACCCCCACAAGAGAGGGAAGAAAACCAGTGACTGCATGGAATGCCCCAACCAAAGGAGAATTAGGGGGAGAGGCAAGGAATGGGACCTCCAGTGGAGAGTCTGTGCAGGTGTCAGCCCCCCAAAGGTCATCCCTACAAAAGAACGGGAGGGGGACAGCCCTTATGGCCCTTTGTTCCCCGGCCAGGTGAACTGTGTGGTGATGCGAGGCCTGAACGAGGACGAGCTCCTGAACTTTGTGGCCTTAACCAAGGGACTCCCCCTGGACGTGCGCTTCATAGAGTACATGCCTTTTGATGGTCAGTGATGGGGTCAGGGGACGGAAGGGGAGGGAGGGGCCTGTCGACAGAGCCAGGCCAGGGCCATGCTGAGAGCATGGCCGGGGGCTGCTGAGGACCCTGGGAAGGGTTGAATGGGGCGGGCAAGGTCTGGCTCACCCTGTGGGTGCTGCTGACCCTGGAGCTCTGCCATGTGTGTAGGAATTTCTCCAGGGATGGTGGGGAGGGGCCTGGGCAGGCACCGGGCTAGGCCTGTGATGCAGCCTCGGAGGCTTCTCAGGATCCAGCATGGGTGTGATGTGATCCCCCGTTTAGGCAGGGCATCCTGACCTCTCGTCCAAGAGGCAGGAGAACTGATTCCTGGGCCATGTGGGAGAATGGACTTGAAGACCCTGGGCCCCTGCAGCTCTGTGACTCAGTAGCTCCCAACCCAACACAGGCAACAAGTGGAACTTCAGGAAGATGGTCAGCTACAAGGAGATGCTGGACACTCTCCGGCAGCAGTGGCCGGAGCTGGAGAAGCTGCCCGAGGAGGAATCCAGCACAGCCAAGGTTGGGGACAGAGGGTGGGGCTGGGAGGCAGGTGGTGTCTCCACCCTAGGACTGGAGAGCTGGCAGTGGCTGCACTGAGATGAGAATGCAGCGATGCAGGGCCATACCATTTAGCGGGAAGCATTACGGCACCATCACAACAGCCTCCCTGCCTTGTGGAGGAAGAAGCAGGTTCAGTGTGGGGCGGGGGTTAAGAAATTAACTTGTTGTAGGACACACTCCAGTAAGTGCCGGAGGGGCACTTGTCCTGCTCTCCCATGTGGCCTTTTCTGGACATGGTGCCCTCAGGTTCCTGTATTCTTAGCAGGTGTCCTTTCGGGTAGGCCAGGTGCAGGCAGAAAGCTCAGGTCATCCCTCCTACTGGAGTCTTCTGTTGTCTGAGGGCCTTGGGTACTGCCTTCCACAGGGATCCTCGGGAAGAGGGCTGTGGGGTGAGAGCTGGGGCTCAGCCACCCATCCCATCCCCTCCACTGTCCTTCCCCCAACCCTCAGGCCTTTAAAATCCCTGGCTTCCGAGGCCAGGTCAGCTTCATCACGTCCATGTCAGAGCATTTCTGTGGGACCTGCAACCGGCTACGAATCACAGCTGATGGCAACCTCAAGGTGAGTGGCCCTGTCCCCCTGAGGCCCCCTTGCCACCTCTGTGTTCTGAATCTCTCTTTCCACCTGCACCCCTTGATTGGAGGGGAGACCAGCAGGGCACCCAGGGTGGTATGTGAAATAGTGTCAGGTTTAGGGGATCATGGGAGCAGTAGGTAAAGGTGAATTCTTGGTCCCTGTGGAAATGTCACTGATTCCTTCCTTCCTTGGGTCCCTGAAGAAGCGTCCAGTTGATTGGGAGCCTGGGAGCCACTTTCCGGCCCTCGGTGCTACCAGAGGGGAGGGGGCGGGGGGAAAAGGGAGGATCACTGTGCACTTTCCCTACCCCCACCCTGGTTGGCCCCATCCACCAGGCCAGGGTCTCCGCTCTGAAACCAGCATCGGTTACTCATATCTAATCAGCACGCACTGTGTGTTCAGTGCTGTGGGGGATGTGAAGGAGGCCCAGAGGTGCTGTTTCCTGTGGGGGCCTGAAGGCTCATGGTAAGACCAAACAAAGAGCTGATGCTTGGCAGCCCCTGATTCTTTGTCAGATGAGTGGCTGGATGGGCCATAGAGTGGCGGGCCTTGAGGGAGTGCATTGTGGACCTTGGTAAGCCTTGAGAATGGGTGGAGGAGGAGAAGTGGGGGAGGGCTGCTTATCTGGGGTTCGTGCTATTTGGCCAAGGCAGATTAAAGTCAGATATGGGAGACCCCGTTGTAGAGGGCTTGAGTGCCCTGATAAAGGGTACAGGGTGTGTTCTGTGCACAGTGGGGCACTGTGCAGTTTCCGGACAAGGGGGAGACAGGATCCCCGATTCATGTTTTAGGAGAATAACCCACAGGCTGAATTTGGAAATAGGAGGACCTATTAGATGGCCATTTAGAGATGTTCTAAATATGTGAGAGTGTTAGGTAAGCGTAGGAAGGAGGGATGAAAGCACGTGGTAATGCAGGTGTGGGGAGAGAAAGCATCCAGGTGGCCAGTCACTTTGGGGCTGTTTAGGACTGGGGAGTGGGGAGGGTGGGGATGGTGCATTGTGTTTAGATACATCAAGTCTGACATCCAAAAGGGACCATTCAGTAGTTTTAAAAGCTGGGGTGGGGCCCGCTCCGTGCCTGAGTGGTTAAGTTCTGGCGCTGCACTTTGGCGGCCCAGGGTTTAACTGGTTCGGATCCTGGGTGCAGACATGGCACCGCTCATCAAGCCATACTGAGGTGGCGTCCCACATGCCACAACTAGAGGGACCTGAAACTAGAATATACAACTATGTACTGGGGGGCTTTGAAGAGAAGAAGGAAAAAAAAACGCTAGGGGATTTTTCTTGTTTTCTTGGCTGGTTGTAGAATTGACCTAGACTGTGGGTGGTAGCTGCATCAGTCAGGGCCCCTGTGGGAAACGGCGGGGGGATTCTAAAGAGAATGTAATGACAAGGCTATGTATAGTGCACAGTTAACGGGACCTATAAGGGGTGTTGAAGCACTTGATGAGCAGCAGCCAACAGCTGTCCCCACCCCTGGGGAGGAGGGGTGTCACTGGGCCCCATGAGAGCTGGAGCCTGGCGGAGTGGTCACCTGGTTGGTGCTGGAGTTGAGGGAAGCAGCCATTGTGGGAGACATCAGAGCAGGGAGGAAGCAGGGGCTGTCAGCCAAACCCAGGCAGAAGCCAGCTGGAGGGGAGCCCAGAAGGTGGCATCCATAGGGGGCCCTCCTGGGGCAGAGAGTGGACCTGGGGCCTCGTGGGGGAACAAGGAATGGGCACTAACCAGCACCATGAAATAGGTCGACCTTCTGCTTAGGTTTCTTCTCTGGTAGTCTCTGCCATCAGTGGCTTCTCGAATGTTCTTCTGTCTCTGTGTCCATGGCGCCTTGTACACAGCTGGCACATAGTAGGTACTTTATAAGGTTTTGTGGGAGGATGGTAGGTACCTGCTTTCTGGGACTGCCTCACCCATCCCTGAGCCCGCCCAGAGCACCCAGCCTCTCACAGAAGCTAGGGAGCGTTGAGTCAAGTTTGAGTGACCTCAGGATGCCATGCCCACCAGCCCTCTGCTGTTCCACCACCTGTCAGGGCTCACAAACCGGAGTAGGTGCAGGGACAGGCAGGTGATGTCCATGAGTGAAGGGACCAGGAGGGGACTGAGGTGAAATGGGATGTGCATGCCATGTCTGGAGGGGACTGCCAGGGCTAGTTCCAACTGATTGGGGTCCATTCTCAAGGCGACAGAGGCCGTTCCATGGAATGTCTCAGGAGAAGGTGCGGATCTGGATTTTTGTGTGCTGTTTCTATTGGTAACTATTAAACTTTTAAAGCACACTCTACGAGCTGAAGGAAACGTGACCATGAGTCACAGAGAGGCCTCAGGATGTCTGATTTTGCTTCCTGCCCTTCCAGCCTGTCTGACTCCTCCATCCGGCGCCTTCTGCCTCTCATTGCTGGAAGCCCTGCCTTCAGTGTGACCCACCCGTGGGAGGCCTGGGCACTGGCGCTCAGCCCATGGAGGACTGTAGGGATGGGGCTGGCTGCTCGGAGTTGGGGGGCCAAGGCCCAGGGACCCAGGAGGCATGTTGTCCTTACCCCCACGGTGACCCCCTGCAGGTCTGCCTCTTTGGGAACTCAGAAGTCTCTCTACGGGATCACCTGCGGGCCGGGGCCTCCGAGGAGGAGCTGCTGAGAATCATCGGGGCTGCCGTGGGCAGGAAGAAGCAGCAGCATGCAGGTAAGGGGCAGGGGTGGAGCAGGCCAGGCTGGATAGTGGGGTGGGCCATTGTCAGGAGGGAGGGCCGTAGTTATGAGGTGAGAGGACAAAGGAAGGCCTGGCCTGGAGCCAGTGGGACTCAGTGTTGTCCTCACTCCCAGTCCCTCCGGTTGGACCTCTAGACCGGGATGCAGTGATGGTTCGCCTTCCCAGGGGAAGTTGGCATAGCACAGACTGCACAGGAGAGGGGACCCCGAATTCTCTTGGGCTGTTCTATTGGGTGGGGGGAAGGGGGTGCCATTGCCTCTCTCTCATCCCACACATTGTCTTCTATCAGGGAGGGTGGGGTCCTGGGTGTCCACAGACTGTTCTGTCATGGGCCCAGGACCTTGCGGGTACAGGGGGCTCTGTGTGGGTGCACGGAGGTGAGTGCATGTCCCTGGGTTGTCATACCACCTTGTCCATTGCTGGTTTCAGTGAACTCCCCTTTCCCTGCCCTCTTTCTCTCCTCTCCCTCCCCGTCTTTCCCTTACCCCAGGCATGTTCAATATTTCCCAGATGAAGAACCGGCCCATGATCCTCATCGGTGGGTGATCCATCAGTACGTAACCACTCACCCTTGTCGTTGGAGGTTCCCATGGGGTGGGGCCCTTGCCATACGGCACCCCCAGATCCTGCATTTCATCCTGATGTTCTCATCCTTATTTTTCTTATAAACCTCCTTCATCTTTTCTAACCCTTTCAAGCCTTGACTGCTACTTCTCTTCCCCATCCACAGCTCCCCCACTGTCCATGCCACAGAAATCATCATTCTGTCTCACCAGAAATCGGGGCAGGAAGTCCTCCAGATTTATGATCACTAAGTTAGTTGTTCCCAGAGAATGGAGCTCCTGGTTAAGACTGAGAGCTTGTCCTCAGCTCTAGAACCTCCCAGGTTAGAAACGATCACAGGCGTCCCTTTCCCTCTGTCGTGTGGGCTAGTCCATGCATGTCTCTGGACCATTAGCACCTGTAAGGTGTTGTTCTGCTTCTGTGCCAGGCAGAGCCAGAGGCAGCAAGCTAAGAATCTTACTCATTTTTCCAGGGAGGAAGCAGCCAGGGTCTCAGCTTGCTAATTCTTTAACTCCTGGGAGCTTATATGCACAGGGCATCTTTCATGTGCATTGGATGTTTCAAACAAAACACGTTTTTAATAAAGCCATATGTGGGCTTGACCCTGGAGAACTGAGCTAGTCCACGAGCTTTAGGGATGTGTTACCCCTCTGGCACGATACGCAGACTAGAGCAGGTGACGCCTCACTCGCCCTGGCCACAGCTAGATCTGGACCACTGGACGAGAGAAAGCAGTGAGAAAAACTAAGGGAAGGAATTGTTTCCTCCAGAGGTTGGAGCTGAGTGAGTGCAGTGGCCCAGAGGGAAGCAGGCTGGAGTGGGCCAGAGACAGCCCGAGGACCACCCTTGCACCCCAGCCACCCACAGATGGAAAGGCTGCTCCCCAAAGCACTCCATTGGGAAGAAAACCATCATCTCTCTTCTCCTCCCACCTCCAGCATCATAGTCCTCTTGTTGGACCTTGATCCACACTGACACACTTTGATGGCAGGGAGTGAGGATGCCTTGATGGTCCCCCTAGAAGGGAGGTTGTACCTCTGACATTAATGAAGTAGGGGGCCCAGAGCATGATGGAAAGCTGCAAGTTGGGAGACTTCTTTGCTTCGTAAGGAATATTATTACTTTCGAAGATACAGAGTAACTAAACTAGTCTGGTTTCTATGAAACCAAGAGTTGCCTGCGATAGGGCTCTCAGACTTCCATGTACCTATGAATCACATGGGGGTCTTATTATTTCAGATTCAGATTTGGGGTGGATTCTGCATCTCCAACAGTTCTCAGACGTACTAGTGCTGCTGGTCCCTGGACCACTGTTTGAGTAACAAGAGCCTGCAAGGTTCTCAAGGCCCTTGGGACCATTTGCATCCACTTGTCACTTTGTGTGCATTTTCCTGTGCTTGAGGGGACTTAAAAGACCATGTTTCAATAGATTAAATAGCCCCCTTAGTATATTGTGTATAAACTATATCCTTAACTGTAAACTCTTCATAGAGAACGTGAAGATGAAAGTAACTGATTGATAACTCAGGCTGAACCTCACTGTAGTTTTAGGAAATGAAGGGCCGTGGAGAGGTCATCATATCCAGGCTTCAGTCTTTAGAGCTTAGGTTTTCTTAAGAGAATTTTGGCAACAAGATAGTTTTTGTGAGGAGGGGAGCCCAGGAGTACCCCCACACCACCACTGCAGGACAGTTGGAAACTGGTGGGGCCATTGCCCTGTGTCACACCTGGTCAGAAGGGCTGCAAACCTGTATTCTGGGGACTTTCTATCTGTATAGCTTCTATTTCCTCTCTTCTCGCTATGCTTTTTGCTCTTCATTCCTCTTTCCCCAGTCTGAGAGAGAGAGCTCGAGGTGGGGTAGGGAAAAGGTTGGGGGAAGAGGTGGGAGAAAGACTTACCGTTTGGACTTAGTCTTTTTTCTCTGTCCTTCCAGAGTTATTTTTGATGCTCCAAGATTCCCCACCAGCCATTCTGAGCCTTTCCTCCTGGGACCCCCTCCGTGTTCAGGATCTGAGACACAGAATGAGTTTCTCCAACCAGGTGGCAACATTGTGGAAAGGATGCCGGGTCCCCCAGATCCCTCCCCTCGCCCACTGGTGGCTGGGGTCTGGCTCCCTTCAGAGACACTACAGTTCCCACCGAGACTCAGCTACCAATCCAAAGTGCCTTAGCCCAGTGTCCCCCGCTCCTGCCACACACTCAGGACCCCTGCCAACCTCGGACCAGCTAACCCATGTGAACACCGAAGGACGGGCAGCTATGGTAGATGTGGGCCAGAAGCCAGACACAGAGCGGGTGGCTGTGGCCTCAGCCATGGTCCTCCTGGGGCCTGTGGCCTTCAAGCTCGTCCAAGAGAACCAGCTAAAGAAGGGAGACGCCTTGGTGGTAGCCCAGCTGGCTGGCATCCAGGCAGCCAAGCTGACCAGTCAGCTGATTCCTCTGTGCCACCATGTGGCCCTGAGCCACGTCCAGGTGCAGCTGGAGCTGGACAGCACACGCCATGCCGTGGTGATCCAGGCATCTTGCCGGGCTCGGGGCCCCACTGGGGTGGAGATGGAGGCCCTGACCTCAGCTGCTGTGGCCGCCCTCACCCTGTATGATATGTGCAAGGCTGTCAGCAGGGACATCGTGTTGGGGGAGATCAAGCTCATCAGCAAGACTGGGGGTCAGCGGGGGGACTTCCATCGGGCTTAGAGCTCCTGCCCCCTCACCCATGGCGCAGCCAGATCATGCGATGGGATGCAATTTGGGTCAAGAGACAGATGTCAAGTTCCTTTCGGCCTGTTACTGTTTGCCTTCACAGTAGGAACCGAAGGTCAGCCAGTTCCTCCTGCTGGATGATTTACAGTGCCCTGTGGGGTTCTCTTTATTCAGAGAGGAAACCAGCAGGCCCTCAGCCTTCCTGGACACTCAGGTCATGGGAGGGCATTGCAGCAAGCAATGCTAGATAACCAAAAAGACACATTGGGTTATCTGTGCACTATTTCAGACAACCAGTTGCAGATGTGCAGCCTATAACTTCCACTTCTCATTGTGGGTTTTCTCTTCTCCTACTTCCCTGGGGAAGAGAATAAGGGCTCATTAAGCAGAGGAACCCACTTTGAGGAGGGGAAAAAAGCTTGCATTAGAATGTGTCACAACTTCTCAGCAGCTTCCCTTCCCGAGTCTGTGGAGCCACAGCCTGCCCATCCCATCCCTCCTGTCCCTCCTTTGAAAGAGCCAGTTAGTCCCTCCTTTGCCTGAGCCTGTCCCCCACCAAACTTGCAGGCTTTCACTTAACAATTGCACCATCCTGCTGGCTCCCTCCTGCTAAACAGGACATACACGTGGGCCGCAGCCCTGAGGACTCCTGACCAACCACACATCCCACCTGCACACTGCCGTCCCACCCACTACCCACACCCCTTTATTCCGGAACATATCAGGGAAAAAAAGAGTCGAAGATTGCCTTCACCCTCACAGCACACAAATAAAGCCACGATGCCAACTTTGGAGATGCAAGAGTGAGGACTGTCTGTGCAGAGGGCACCGAGCTGCTCCAATTTCATGCCCACCCCCTCAACCCCATCCCAAAGCCCACTGCCCTGGGGGAGGAGGAGAGGAGAGACACATATTCTCCGTCCTCCCTGTGGGAGAAGGTAGTGGGGGGGGGGGGCACCATCTACAGTAAAACTGTCCAGTGGGGTGTCCGAAGCTCACTGCCTGTATCAGATTGGGACGGTGCAGTCAGAGGCTCCCATATGCACACCCTCAAACACTGGACTCGTTTGCTGGGTTCTCTAATATGGCTAGGCTTCTTTAGGGCCATCCTCAGTGGCACCCCTGCTTGCCTCCCCTCTGCCCTACACCCAGGTTTGCTGGCAAATGGCTTTGTCTTCTCCCCAGAGCTGGTGGTTAAACAAACTCTGGCCGATTTCAAGCTACCATACAACATGAACTGGCTTGCAAAATTCCTGAAAATCTAACAGTTGGCACGCTCAGAGCTGGTACAAGCTGGCTGCAACACACCAGATGTGCCTGCTCCCCAGCACACCTCAAGTCCCCTCAAGGGAAGAAGGCACACGTTTCAAGGCAGGCTGGATGGGGATGGTATGGATTTAATATTTTTTAGTATTACAATATATTCTTATAAAAAAGGTGCAGGTAAAAAGGACGCTGCAGATTTTGTACATTAGCCTCATCTGTGGTCTGAGACAGCTGGTGAGAGCAGCCTTGGTATGAAGATGGCCCTGGGTGGAGGTGAGGGGAGATGGTCACTGCTCCCCAGTTGGTGGAAATGGGGTGGGGATGGGGAGAGCCTGGACCAGACCCTTCCCCATCTACCTGGAGAATTTTCTCCCGCTGCCTTAAACATGCCTTCCTTCCATCACGGGGGAGGAGGAGTGGGCGCTGCAGCTGAGAAGGGGACAGGTTACAATAGTTAACTGAATTCTACATTGGACACAAAGTTAGACAGCTGGAGGAATTCACCTGAAGGTGGCAGGAGGGGTGAGAAGGGTACTGGGGAAAGACCAAGGAACAGATACAACAGGCGTAAACAGCTAGCACGTCAAGGACCAACTCAGCCATTGCGGAGTCAGCCTTGATGGTCCATGGTGCAAGGCACTGTTGGAGATCTGGCTACAAGGCGTCTGGTGCCAGAGCCACCAGCCAGATCTAGAAAATAATAAATAGAAAAGGAAAACTCTTTGAGGGTGAGAAGCCTGAGCCCAGGAACAATATATGTGTCCTCTGTAAACAGTTAAACCAAACTGCTTTTCTGCGGATCCAATGCATCTTGAACAGCTTCCGTATTCTGTCTTTCCTGGTGCGCATCCAGTCATGCATGGTGGGTGGGAATGCCAGGATTTGGACGTGCCTGTTGGGTAGAAGTGGAGCCCTCCCCTGTGGATTAAGGTTGACCTCAGTCCGGCCAGCCTTCAGAGACCCCACCCACAACCTTTCCATCATCCCAATGCCAGCGTCCTGTGGCGAGGGCTCTTGGGTGTTCAGATGGGTGTAACACAGCTCTCTGCAGTTGCTCTTCCTGGAAGCCTTCATCTTGCCCTCACCTGGACTCCAGGATGGCCTCTTCACACCTGTCTTGGCCAGGCTTGCATTTGCTCAGATCCCTCCCCCTCAAACCAACACACGTGCTGGGCTCACCAACCCTGTGTTTCTTCCCCTGCAGCTACTATGGTCCCACCCCTAGGAATCTGATGCAGGAAAAAGATAGGCAGCTGAAGAGTTGGCCCAGCCCACCAGTCTCTCCACTGGCAAAAACCCTGAGCTGGAGAAGTAGCTTGGAAGGTGAGAAGCATAAAGGAAAGGGTAGGAGGATGGAAGGGCAAGGAGCAAGGTTGAGGCTGGTCTCACAGACACAGAGGATGGAAGGTCAATTCTAGTGGGAGGAAATGTTTTGAAAATAAGACTTGATGGAGTTGACCTCACCTCCCTTCTTTTAGAAGACAGAAAACTTTTAGACACAGCCATTACCGGCCCCATTGCTCTCCCTACCCCCACCCGCCCAGGACAGCTCAAGACGGACAGAATGGAAGGTGGGAATGGACAGGAGGACCAGAATGGGCCCCTTGGAAGTCAGGCTGAAGAACGAAATTGGGTACCAGAGATGGGGGGCTGAAGCCCCCTTTCAACCTTCCCCCCTTGGCTCCTTCAGGAGTGCATTCCCAGCCTCCCCTGCCTGCACTGGCCCTAGTCTGAATGCCTCAGAGGAGGAGACACCCTCAGAGATGGCATTTAAATGCAGAGGGCAGCTCTGTCCCTTAGGACCCTCTCAGGACCCGATGCCCCAGGGCCAGCCTCAGCCAGATACACATAGTTTGATGTGGTCTCCTGCAGCCTGGACAGAACGGGAGGTCACTGTGGCTTCTACTCTTGAGGCAGATATCAGAGAAAGAGTTTGGGGTCTGAGTAACATTAAGTGTTGGACCAGGAAGCCCTAGTGTGCACCTGGGTGTTCCAGTGCTGCCCTCTGGTGAGGGGCTGTGGGGAACCCCTAGCCAACATGTGAGGTCACTGTCTCACTTCAAGACAGTGGTCTGGCTGTACTGGGGAGGTGAGAGAGTTTTGTTCCAGGGTCCCTATGCCCAAGGCGTGAGGTGTGTTGAGTGGGGTCTTTTTTGAACCCCTTCCCTTACCAGATTCATCAAGTACCTGATAGTAAGCCATGCTCATGTGAACCCAAAGGTGAGTTTTCTGGGCTTCTGGATTAGTAGATGGATGGAGGTGGCACAGGAAAGGGAGGGAGGGAGGCTTAGGACATGCAAGAGGTGGGGCCAACGGACTTGTGATGAAGGAAACGGGCACTGCCACTCTGTCCTGATGACTTGGTCCCTGCATCATCCTCCCAGCATGTTTTAGTTTTTCTGGGACATTCCTAGCTAGAATACATAATGCCTCTTCCTTTTCCATCCAAGAGGAAAGTTTGCCCCCAGATCAATGTTCCATTAAGCCACCTCTTGAGGGATGGGAGCCTGGATTCTCAACCTGGCTCTCAGGGGGCTCACCCCACTGTTACTCCCACTGCACATGAAATCCGGACAAGGTCCGTGGACCACTCTAGTCTAGCTCTGGAACAATTCTGTGCCAGCGTGGGTGCCCATGCTTGGGGACGGGGAGCAGGGCCCCTGCAGGCAGGCTGGCCAGGGATGTCCAAGGCAGCCTCAGAGTGACCCCTGAAGGCCCCGATGCAGAAAGAACAATGGGAAGAAGAGAGGAGGGGAGCCCTTTCAGGTAAGTGTGGGGAGACCTGGTCCTGCCACACAGCCCGCCCCTGGGACCCAGCCCAGGGCCAGGAACCGAGCACCAAGTTGTTTAGCATCATGGCCTCCTCCCCTCAGCCCCTCTCGGTCCATCCCTGTCTCCCCGCCTCCCACGGTGGCCAGGCCCCAGGTCAATGATTCAGCCTGTTGATTGCCCTCTCCCGGGTGACCTCCAATGCCTGGCTCCCCGATCGCTTGCGGCTGCGCTTCAGCTTGCATAAGTCCTTGTCAAAAACCTCCCCTGAGCGCAGGGCCGACACCAGGTCGTCGAACTCGCCTCCCTCCTCCAGCGTGCTGCCGGCGTGGACCTTCCGCTGCCGCTGCCACCGTTCCCGCTCCCTCTGCTCCTTCAGCTGCAGGGTGAAGAGGGAGGGAGAGAGGCTGGCACCCAGGGATGGACTGAGACCAGAGCAGCCACTCACTGTCCAATTTACAAACACACGCCCTCCCCAGCAGGGGCTGACTCCTCCACTGTGCACCTCGATGCTCAAGACTCTTGTTTACTAACTGGCCTTGCCTTCGTTCTTCCCCGGGAGCCCGTGCCTCCCCATCACACTGCTCTCTCCCTGTGGGGCTGAGGTCAGCCCCTACAGCCCCTCGCATACTCCAACCCTTCCCCGCCACCCCTGCCGCTAGTAGCATCCCACTTGCACCGGGCTCTCCCTCACGCCCAGCCCCCTCACCATGGCTTCCATGCGCGCCCGCCGCTCCTCCTCTTCCTTTTTCCTCCGCATGGCCTCCAGGTCCTGCCGGGCCTCCGAGAAGGCCTGCAGGAAGGTGTCAAAGATGCCAAAGAACTCATCTGGCTGCATCTTGCTGTCGTGCTCCCCAAAGTGCATCAGGGCCTTGGAGAACTGTTCGGGGGAGAAGGGGTGGAGGAGAGTCACCCCCAAGCATGGTGGGCTCTGCCCATGGGATTGGCTGGGTTCCAGCCAGAGCAGAGCCCAGTCTAAGGCTGGAACCTTTGGTATGAGGGGCAGGGCTAGAGGGGGAGACCCCATTGTCAGCAGCATAGGGAGGCTGAAGGAAAGGCTTGAGGCTGACACCCTGCGGAGGGGAGGGTTCCAAGCCAGCTGACAGAGGCTGCCCGGAGTCACCTCAGTCTGTTAGGGTATGAGAATGGGGTCAGGAGCTACAGCCCTTGAGAAGCACTTCCTAAGGTCAGGAACTGCCCGGTCAGAACTCAAAAGGACCTCAGAAGTCATATAGTTATTGGGCTAGTTATTTAACCCCTCTGTGCCTCAGTTACCTCATCTGTAAAATGGGGATAATATAGAACTTCTGACTTTTATTGAGAGCTGCCAGCCCTAATTCAACACACTCAGAATCCTCTAAAACAGACCTCACTACTCAAACTGTGCTCCATGGACCAGGAGCATGGCATCTCCTGGGAGCTTGTGAGAAATGCTGACTCTCAGGCCCCAGCCTAAACCTCCTGAATGACAACCTACTTTTTTTTTTCTTGGTGAGGAAGATTGGCCCTGAGCTAACGTCCATTGCCAATCTTCCTCTTTTTGCATGAGGAAGATTTTCCCTGAGGTAACGTCTGTGCCAATCTTCCTCTATTTTGTATGTGGGACACTGCCACAGCGTGGCTTGATGAGCAGTGTATAGGTCTGCACCTAGGATCCAAATCCACAAACCCTGGGTTGCCTAAGTGGAGTATGTGAACTTAACCACTATGCCACCAGGCTGGCCACAATGACCCACTTCTTAATAAGACCCCCACAGATGGGGTCCATGTGCGTGTTAGTGTGAGAAACAGGAAGAAACATAGCAACTGAGACCAAAGCTGAGCTCCAGAGTCAGGATACTAACCCAGCTCTATCAATCACAGCTGGGCAACCTCAGGCAAGTTACTTAACCTCTCTGGATCCCAGTGCACATAGCTGTCGAATGGGCTAATAACCTTCCCACAAACCCATAAGGTAGGTAATGAGATAAATCCTGTAAAACATGTAATGTGGTGCCTGGTACCTGAGGAATGGATAAGATCTTTGCAACAGAGTGGCTATTGCTTTTCTTTTAGGAGGGAGGAAGCGGCTTTTCCTCAAAGATCTGCGACTCTGGGTTTGTCCCTTCTGGGCCATATGTAGTAGGGATGGGTGAAGGGGCTGAGTTAGAGAGGAGTGGGGGCAGGGTTGGCACCCTACCTTGTCCCTGGCCTCACTGAGCTGGTCCTCCAGCTCTGAGAAGCTAAAGCTGGAGACTGTGATGAAGTCACTCATGACGGGGACAAACTTGTCATTCGGATCCCGCATCTGGCGTTTCTGATATTCCAGCTCCTGAGGAGGGAGAGTGAAGTGCTGGTGAGACGGGTGCCAGGATAAAAGTCAGGAATCCTGCGGGTCACCATGTCTCCCACCCTTCTTGCCAGTCCCACAAGATCGAGCCTTCCTTCAGCAGAGGGAACGCCCCAAGTCTCAAAATTCTAAGGGTGGCAAAGATGTGAGAGTTGTCAGCCAGTCCACCCTGCCTCTATGCTTCCCTCACCCCCACAGCCATCTTTCTTTCCCTGGATCCTTGCTACCAAAAATGTGGTCTGGGACGAGCAGCATCCTCATCATCTGGGAAATCTGAAGACACAGACTCTCAGGCCCCACTCCAGACCTGCAGAATCAGGATCTGCATTTTAACAAGACCCTCGGGGGATTTGTGTGCAGATTCAAGTGTGAGATGCATTTCTAAATCTCCTAGTTGATGTAGATGCTGCTGGTCCATGGACCATGTTTTTGGTGGCACTTCAAAGGGCTATAAATTGAAACCACCCCCGCTGCCCCTAACAGTGGCAATGAAACATTCTCTCTCATCCTTCATTCTCTAAGCCCGTTCTCCCCTTACCCACCTAACCCACGACCCCCTTGAAGATGGGAAGGGTCTTTAGTTCCCGGGTGTGGGGGACAAATGGTTGGGGAGATCCCCATACTGGGCCAGCCTAGCCCAGGGCCAGAGATGGCTTCTGAGATGATACTATCAGAACAGGAATGGTGCTGACCAGAGACCTGGGTCCAGCAAAGAATGCAGCCCCTGGGTCCTCTACTGACCCAGGGAGGAGGTGAAGAGTCTCCAGTGTCACACTATGTGCTGTCTGTCCCTAGCCAGCTTCTGGTGGATTCTCTTTCCCGTCCACTTGGATCAAACTTAAGCATGCAGCTGACTTATGGTCCATTCCACTCCAGTGCCCAACAGACATGTCAGACGGTGACCTGGCTAGTCTCAGATGTGCCCTCTTCGAGAGTCTAAAGTTAAGCCCTAGATGACGGAGTCACCCTTTCCTGAGGGCTGACTCTGTGCCAGAGGCTGTACCCACCGTGCCAGTTGTTCTCCCACCCCAGCCGGGAGCTTCGGCTCACAGGAATGCCTCAGACAGGGTCTGCGTCTGGGGGTCCACCACTGGGCCCAGTGACAGGCAGCAGCAAACACAGGCCGCGTGGACAGCATCCCCTCAAACCCAGGCAGGTGTTGAGGATGTACTCACCACCTCGACTGCTCTGAGGCCCCTCCTGAGGTTGCCCACCTCCTTCTCCAGCTCCGCCAGGCTGTGGGGGGACACGGAGGGAGAGAGAGGAGCTGAGGGTGGTTTCGGGGAGAGGTCAGTGCAAAGCACAAGGGCCTGGGAGTCACCGGACCTGTGCTCCAGCCCTGCTTTGCCCACTGACACGTGGCCCTGGCAAATCACCTCCCGTCGGTGCCCTGTCTGTGTTTCTATAAAATAACAGGGGCGAAACTTACATTCTATAGATCTCCGGAGATTGGAAATATCACCCTGTGTCTAAGAAGGCTTCCAACATATGGCCTCTGGCTTGGGTTTATCTATTTTTATTACTACCAGGTAAAGTTTATAAGCTCTTAACATGGCACCCTGCATGCAGTAAGCATTTGACTCATATTGGCCGTTCACCACCCCATTTCTACTTCTATTGGAGATGCTTCTATCAGCCTATATCTGTTCAGGTCTGACTTCCTGCCTGTAGCAGATACTGTTGGTGCCCCACACATAGCTCCTAGGACAGTACGTTGTAGTGCACAGCCCTGACTTCCAGCTGTGTGAGCACTTTTTCTGGGGTCAAAGCCTGTACCCATGGCCAGAGAGTTATGGCCCCTCACTACCCCTCAGCCAGTGACTGACAGGAGACGGTGTACAATGTCCCAGCCTCCTTGCCCACTGGGTGGGATAAGCAGAGGGAATGTCCTACACTATCTCCCAGACTCCCGGGGAGGGATTCAGTTCCGATTGCCCACAGTGGTCACTGGCTTAATAATATTCTGTTATTGGCATTCTTTCCTGGGAGCATCTCTGAAATAAGGATTTGAGAGCAAATATGTCTCTGTCTGCTCCTCGCAGAGCTGACACTGAGACACTCACTGCCCATTCCTAGTTGGCCCAGGGTAGTCTCAAAGGAAGAAAGTTAGACAAGAGTGTGCATAATCATAGGGAGAAGGAAGCCTCAGAGGGACCCCTCACTTGACTTTGGCGGCTTCTGGAAGGTGCTGCAGCTCAGAGGGCATGTTCAGGATGTCAGGGAAATGCTTCTCCAGGATCATGATCAGATAATGGAGCAGAGAGATGTTTCTGTTGATGAAATTTCAGGGGTAAGAGATCAAGGTATTTGGCGACAAGGGTCAAGAGGAAACTAGGGTGAGGTATTAGGAGAAAGAGGAGATGAATTTGGGTTGGAAATGGAAGAAGGGTCCAACGGGGAGGAGGGGAGAGGCCAGAATGGGGTGAGATGGAGGCTAAGGAAGCAGGCAGGGTCCCACCTGTCAATGCTGGACTTGGTGTCGGCGATCTTGTTGAGGCTGGCCACCCGGAACCCGTAGGCGCCCCCACGCTGCCCTTTGTTCATGAAGTTGCCAATGGCCAGGACAACCTCTAGCATCTGCGTTAGACGCTTGCTGCGGACCAGCTCCCGGGAGGCCAGCAGGATGGCTGGGAGAGGAGGGACAGGTCAGAGCCCTACACGGACCGGGCCAGGGCAGCTGGTCCCCCTGCACTCCAGAATGATGCCACCACAAGGTCCAGAACAGGGTCTGTGAAGTGCCTTCAGTTCTCAGGGGCAGAGACAGTACTCGCAACTCTACGTCTGCTCCACACCCGCCATCCTCCAAGGGAAGCAGAAAAACTCACCAAAAACCAATTTGCCAAATAACCCATTCTCAGAATTGCCAACTCTTCCTAAGAATATCTTTTCTCACATATATTTAAAGATTTTAGTGAATATATACAAGAATATAATACTTTTACTTTTCTAAACCTAGTGATCAAAAATTTAAATTTTAGCATTTTACAGATTATGGAACTGTTTCTGACTCTTTTGAAATGCTGAATTATATTGATTTTTTGGAAAGAAAAAAGTCCATCAATCAAATCATAACATGTCATCAATTGGAATATTCCTATATTTTTGTTCTATAAGATAACGACATGCTTGACAGTTGATGATGTCTTGGATTTGACTAAATAGGTTACTTGACATACAATTTTTAAATCATTTAAAAATTTTCCTAAGCTTTAGGCATTTTAACCATTTCCCCCTAATGCCTTAACTGTTACCTTTGTTAGCTTTAGTTTGTATTTCTAACAGGAACCAAAACTTCAGAATCTCATTCGGACGTGGATGCCCCAGCCCTTCCTCAGCTATTATGTATTTAGGGTGATGTGCAGAATTGGAATACAAATCCTACACTGAAATGTTGTCTATTTTGTCTAGTTATAGAATATAATTTTTGATGATTAAATGTGGTGATAAGAAGACCAAACCATTCTATCATCTTCAGCTGATGCCAAACTGAACATTCCTTAAGATGCTGCTATGAAGACACAATGACAACCATTGACTAAAAGTTTGCAAAAACCCCCCAAAGTAATTAAAAAGGCTGTAAAAAATGAGTAGTAAGTAAGGTTTGTCAGTAGCTTCTCAAGTTGAACACGCACACAGTCTATGACCTCACAGCAGCGTCACTCTTGACAGGTATATGAGGGGTTTCCAGTTTGCTTTCTCTTAAAAATTACAAATAGATTGGTTAAATAAGTTACAGCATATTCATATGATGGAATAAAATACAGCACTGAAAATGAAGAACCACTGCTCTGTGTAACAATAGGGATAACTCACAACCACAATGCTGAGCCAGAGAATCCAGGGTACGATTATTTGTACTATGCTATCCTTTTATATAAAGTTCAAGAGACAATCTTGAAGGAAGGGGTAATGGTTGGAGGGGGACATGGCAAAGGGCTCTGGGGGCTGGGGACACTCCATGGCTTGACCTGGGCATAGATTACACAGGTGAATTCACATTAGGATGGTTCATCAGTAGGACTCCTGTGATGTGTGAGCTTTTCTACATGTGTATTTCAATAGGAAGTTTACTTTTAAAAAACTACTTATAAAAGTTTCCGGCAATGTATGTTGGTTGGGATAATTTTTCTCAGGTTGATAAGCTGCTTGAAAAATTTGTAAAGGAGTCCTCCAAAAAATGCTAAAATGTTGGCAAAACAGAAAATGACAAGAGCTCAAAGGAAATCAGTGTAAATTGGAAAACTTCCATATGCAAGGCAGACATTTTAGATATATTCATAAGAATAATATATTCATGAATGTATTCATAAGAATATGTTTATTTACATTTGAAACCATATTCATCTTGACTACATTCAATGAATGCATTCATAATGAGAATTGGTAATTTTGGTATATTCATAAGAAGAATGTGTTCAAAAAGAATGTGTTCATGAATATATTCAGAGAAGAATTGGTAAATTTGTCAAATTTGATGAATTGGCTTTTGGCAAATTGACCCAGAGGCCCTGCTAGGGGGTGGATGTCAACAGCTCACCAACCAGCTGGGATGGGCCAAACCAGCTCTTGCAGGAAGATTTCCTGGAGAACTGGAAGCAGGACCATGCACCCCAACTCCTGCACAATCCTTCTGTCTCCACACCCAGTCAAGCCCACGGACCTGATTCTGTGAGGTACCATTTCAGCCACCTCTTCCCAACTCTTAGAGGGAAGAGACCTCCAGACCATTCTAGAACAGGAAACATGAACTTGCTGAGCTTGATATTAAAGGGAGACTCTCTCCTGAGCATCCACTGACTAATTCTCAGGGACAGTTTGGGAGTGGTCTCCTGGGAGCAGGAAATTATCTGAGATTAAACCTACCCGGTGGCTAAACTACTCTGGTTCCATAGCTCCAACTGGCAATTGCTCACATTTGCTCCACTGACCCAAGACCCACATAGTTGAGCACATGTCTTGGGCTGAACCCCTTATCTGTGCCTTATGCCCCAAAGGCAGTCAGCAGCAGGACGAAGAAAGTTGTGTGAAGGTGAGGACTCACCCATCACCAGGGCAGGAGGTGCCGCCAGACCTTAGACTTGCAGAGTCACTGCTGATCTCTTTCCTTCTCTCTCAGACCAGCTATCTATGACCACAGCCAGCTTGCAGTCTGCAGTTCCCTTGCTATATGTGTCAGGATCCAGATTACAGAAAACATCTGCCTCTAGTTCTGTCACACCCCTCCCTATCCTCAGAATGCTCCCCAAAGCAGCCTGTCAAACTCCAGGAAGGGCCATTCTCTGGAGTGGGCATTCCAGGGAGTGCTGGCCAGCCCCAGTGTCCAGCAGAGGGGGCCCATGCTCTGCTCTGCCCCCAGCCTGCCTCCCCCACAGCACCCATCCCCTGCCCAGCATCCTGGACACAGGCTGTTTTGTTCCAATCTGCTGATCCTTCCCTCACTGCAACTGAACCTCACAGCCTCTCCTCCTTCTCCCCTCCTGGGTCTGCATGCCTGCTCACCATCCTGACCACCTGCCTTTTCCCCCAGCTCCCTGCCCCTCCATCCTCTGCCATCCCCACAGGCAGATCCAGGGAGATGCTCTCTGGGAAGTGCTACAGGACAAGAGAGAAGGGATGGATTCTGAAGAATGACATCTGCATTCCAATCCTGGCTCCACCACCCACCAGTAACAATGGCCTCAACATCCCCATTGAAAGATGAGAGAATGGCACACCCATAGGGTTGTGAGGACCAAATAAGACCAACCCTGTGGAGCGCTCCACACAGTTCTTGGCAAATGGTTCTCATTTAATTACAAAGTTCTCATCTGGAAAAGCCCTGTATAGGAGGGGTTCCCCTACCCAGAAAATCAGATGCTCAATTTCCTACTTTCTGAATAGCTCACACTTACTGTCCAGAGGTCCTCTATGAGTTTAGTATCTGTCGAGCAAGTTAAAGATGGATGAGCTCAATGTGTGTCAGGCACTGTTCTGGGTATTTGCTATTGTCATCATTTTTTTTAGCATTTCTGTCCCATGCTGGGGCAGATGTCAACAGAGCTCCTGCCTTGGGGAGTTGGCGTGCTGAGGCATAGGGAAGGAGTTGCAAGGCTGGCACATGTGCTGACATAAACAAGTGCATATATCTACAAAAATCATAGTTTTAAACTTTGTCCTTGACTTTGGGTTTTTTGGGGGATCAAGAATAAGGAAGGAGTTTTCCTCTGGCCCTGTTCATTGACTCCCACCCCGGGGCCTCCCCAGATGTCTCTCCACTCCAGGCCTCCTCCACACCCTCAGCCATACCTTCCACTTTGGGCTTGGCCTCAGCCAGCCGCTCCTGGAACTTCTTCTTGAAGAAGAGGGCCTGCAGTCGCTGCTGGTAGTGGTCGATCCTGTGGACAGGGAGAGTTACCTCATAAGATGGCTCCCCCAGCCCCAGCGGCCAGCTCCAGCCCCCTCCTTAGCCTGCCTCCCCCGCCAGCCAGCCCCTCCTGCCATGCCTGCTGCCCCGACCTGCTCATGTCATAGAGGAAGCGGTCAGCGCGGGCCATCCGCTCAATCTCATGCTTGTGCTCCTCGAGGAGGTCAATGTCACTCTTCTCCGGGATGAACTTGAGGAGCTGCAAAGAACGGGTGAAGATCGGAAGGGAAACTGGTGAGAAGCTGATATGGCGGGGCGGTGCATGGAAGCCCGTACACTGACCAGGTTCAAGATGGGGAGGGGGCCCCTTAGAAGAGAGGCATCCTCATGTGGATGGTTTACACGTCATCCACCCCAAGGAGATGGCAGGACACCCAGCTCTTTAGACTTCTTCTTTTCAAAAAAAAAAAAAAAATCGAGATATAACTTACATACAATAAAGCACACTATTCTTAAGTGTACAGGTCAACACTTTTTAAAACCAACTTTATTGAGGTACAATCTACATAAGTGTGCAGTTCAATGAGTTTTGACAAAACTATGCACCCATTGAAGCACCATCCAGATTAAGATCCAGAAGATTTCCATCCCCTCAGAAAGTTCTCTTGCACCACTTCAATAAGCCAACCCACCCCTTCCCCCATATACAGCCTCTCAACTGAATTCTACCACCTTAGATTTGCCTATTCTTGAACCTCATGCCAATGAACTCATGCTGTGTGTTCTCTTGGTGCCTGGTTATTTCACTCAATGTCACATCTGAGATTCATTCCTCTTGTAAGTACTGGTAGTTTGCTTTTATTCATTGCTGAGTAGTAGCTTACTGTAGGCACAAACCAGTCTGTTCACTTTCCTATTGATGGGCTGTTGGGTGGTTCACAGTTTGGGGGTTTTATAAATACAATCGTTATAAATACTTTCGTGCATGTCTTTTAGTCAACATGTGTACTCATTTCTCCTGAGTGAATACCTAGCACTGGGATTGCTGGCCAATAGGAAAGTCTTTTTAGCCTTGGTGTGCACTGCCTGCCAAGTCATTTTCCAAAACGATTGTACCAAATGAGAATTCCAATTGCTTCACATCCTTGCCAGCACTTGGCGTTGTTAGTCTTCTTAATTTTGGCCATTCCGGTAGGTGGGTGGTGCTACCTCACTGTAATTTACTGTATTTCTCTGAGGACTAATAACATGGAGCCATTTGGAAATTCTCTTTCATGAACCATTTGTTCAACTCTTTTGCTCATTTCTAAGTTGAGCTGTTTGTCATTTCCTCACTGATTTGTAGAGTTCTTTACTCTGAATATGAGATCTTTGCTAGATACACATAAGGCAAAGAGCTTCTAAGGCTTGTCTTGTCTTTTCGGTCTAGGAATAGTGCCTTTTGATGAACAGAGTTCTTAATTTTAATGAAGTCCAATTGATGGTGGCTTTGTTTGGTGTTATCTAGGTTCCTCTTGAAGGACACAACAAATGTGGTGGAAGAGATTTGGGGAAGAAAGACTATAGGTCACTCTGACTTTGCCTCAAGACCTGTGGGGTATCATCTCATCTCTCCTTTTGGGGGGCCTCAATCCCCCAGGAAAGATGCCTTTTCTGGCCTCCCCTCAGAAAGGCTGGCCCAGGAGAGTTTCTATAACCCTTCCCCTTCACTCCTCCACCCTATAGCCTGATTTCTCCTTGACCTAAGAGTCTCTGCCTCTCTGGGGACTGTCAGAAAGGAATATGGCTGCCCCCTAGTTTCAGCTCCCCTCCCTGCTAGGGGCCTCACCTGCTCCAGCATGTCCTTGGCGAGGTCCTCCTGCTCATCCATCTTCAAGATGGCCTGCCGGATCTCCTCGTTAGAAAGCTTCAACCTACGGCAAACCCCACCCCCTGAGCAGCCTGGTCTGGCCCCTCTGCTCAGGACAGACCCCAGATCCTCTCCTCCAGAATCCAGAGCCCCGGCCTCCTCTCTCCCTTATGCGAACGTGGGAGTATATTTGATAGCACTGCCTCCTCAGCTCCTCTGCAGTCTCCTCAGACCACACTGACGTGGCGTGCTCCATAAACCCCGTAACGAGCTATTTTAGTGTCTAAATAGAGAGCTGAGTCTGGAGTCCCTGGTCTCTTGCTTGAGTCTCCGTCACAGCTGATAGGGACAGTTAGGAGTAAAACGGCTATCTTCAGTGTAGACTGAGAGAGAGGGTGACAGGTTTCTGATCCTCCTCCTTCTCCTCATGCCTGACGTTATCTACGGCATCTCCATGGGAGCATGGGAATATGGGCAGGCCACTTGGGGGCAGCTTCCTGCTTCCTTCATTCTTAGAAGACAGAATGGCTCTCAGTCATCTGACAGCGCCTCAGCTCCCACACAGCTGTTCCAATCCGTCCTGCTCTCTGGGAGAGGGAGAAGCCACCCACCCACACACACACACACATGCGCACATGCACGTGCGTGCACACACACACAGCCCTTCCACATCCCCTCCAGATGCACACCCATTGGGAGCCCTGGGGATGCAGAACTCTCCCCCACCATCAAGGGGGAGAAACTGAGGCCTGGGGCCCTGTGGGAGAAAGGAGGGTAAGATGTCCCAGAGGTGGCCAGGGCAGCACTAAGAATAGCAGGGGAGGCGGTGCCCTCTGACCTGGCTCACGCAGGAGGAACCACACAGAAGCTGTGCTGTTAGCACAGATACTGCGCTGTTTGTTCTGCAGCCGCGGGAAATGCTTGGGGGCTGAGATCATGCTGCTCTGTGGCCTGAGCCAAGCGGGCCCTCCATGGGCTTAGAGCAACGCCACTGCTAGACGCTGACCAGGCTGGTCGGGGCCTGGGGTCGGGGCATTTCCTGTCTGCAGAGCCCTGTACTGATGCCCAGCATGGGCTCTCAGGAGAGGGTCCTAGATCAGTCTCCCCCCATTTCCAGGGGAGAGCAGAGAGGGGTGACCAGAGACTGCTATGCCCCCATTCCTCTGCCACCTCTCTCCCCCAAGCATTCAGGTAAACCACCGTCTTTGCTCTCGCTCCAGCTCGGGTCCCTGCTCCCTGGGGGGCCCATCACTCCCGCCAGGAGCCTTTCCCAGAGCAGGGGCCGAGGAGGCAGGGCGAGCACGTACTTGGAGAGAAGGATGATACAGTTCTGGGCCCTCCGGCCGTCAATGACCGACAGCTCTTTGACTTTGCGGGAGGCCAGGTAGATGTCCTCGGTGGAGCCCAATTCCTTCTGAAACCGACAGGCCAAGTGGAAGGGGTGAGGTGTGTGTTGTCCCCAATCTTCTTCTTGCCCACCCACCCAGGAGCCACCCCCCTACCAACCAGGGAATGCTCCTGGTGTGAGAGGAAGAAAGGAAGGAAAAGAAAAAGGAGAGAGAGAGGAGGGCAGTTAATAACCGACTCTAATGGCAGGCATCTGGGACCTTACCATGGGCTACAAAGGGTTAGGGGGGCAATAAGGAGCCCCCAGTTTTTTGTTTTAGAGATTGCTCTCTTGGCAAACTAGAGAAGGAGCTATTCCGATGGAGGGAGTGGCCGATCCCTGTGGCTTCGGGGAATGTGATATGATCTCCCACATCCCCAGAGTCAACCTCCACTCCCACAACTCCCCCCAGACAGCCTCCCCAAGCTTATAATGGGAAGCTGGTTTTAAGTCCCCGCAAGGCCACAGTTCCTGGACTCCTGGACCTTCAGACATAGCCCACTGGGCCCAGGGTACAGGGCATCCTCAAGGTCAGAGGTGGGGAAACTGAGGCAGAATTCCATGTAGAATTCTCTCCTCTGGGGTTCCAGCAGGCAGCTTCCCAAGAAATGATGGCTTCCCCTTGCTTCTCTTGGGCCCCTGGTGAGGTAGACAGGAGGCTAGTTCTCACTCTGGGAGGTCCCACCAAACACATGTTCCATGTTACACCACTCCAGAGGCTGCCACTCACATTGCTATCTTTGTGAATTGTGCCCTGGAATTGTGCAGTGTCCAGCCTGTGCAGTCTTACAGGACGGGCTTGCCTTGGGCTCAGTGGGTAAGACAATAGATCGAGACTAGCTCTTCCTCCTCACTCCAGTATTCACCCCCATTGCTGGCAGGGCTCTGCTTACATTATCTCCCTTTCCTACATTTCTTCTTTCTCTGTGGGGTCCCAGCCCTGTGCCTCCCTGTACGGATGGGTAATAAGGTAGAAGGAAGAATGGACAAGCCCTCTTTTTTGGGCCCAGGACAGGGCAGCAGCCCAGGACAGTAGTTAAATATTAGAGTGTCCAGAGTCCCAGGAGTGACTCACCTGCTGAGAAGGATTAGTTATCAGCTCCTAGGCAGGTAGCAGCCACAGCCAACAGAGAATTAAACATGCACAACGTTAGCCAAGAGTTTTGGGGACCCAGGAACAGTAGGCAAGACATGGGGACCCTCAGCTCTGTCCGCCCCATCCCAATGAGACCCCCATCGCTGGAGATGGACACCTGCAGGTAGCCCTAGCCAGGAGCTGCTTCTCGCAGACATGCACTCACAGAGAAGCCAAGCAAAGCGGAGAACAGGCAGGTCTCCCGCCTGTCCTGGGCCCAGCGGCACCACTGCTCCCCGGCTAGGGCTGACCAGGCCCCTGAGCACGCCACCCCAGGCCTTGGCTGTGTTCTTCCCTCTCCTCTGCTGGGAATCTGCCCCAGGATGAGTTCGTCTCTCTAACAGGGGAGCAGACACAAATGAACGTAAGCTAGATGCATGTCAAAGTCACATTCACTGTGGCCAACGAGGGCAAGTGTCCCTGAATTTTGCCCCTCACCCCTTGTCTGTCCTTTGATCTCTAAGGGAGCCAAGGGGGAAGAGCCCACATCTAGTTCTCTCTTCCTGACCCTGACGGAGTTGAAGTCACTAACTCAGGACCTGCATGGGGCACAGACGGAAGATCACAGTTCACAGGACTTCCCCTGCCCCATGCACCCAGGGCCCCAAGACAGGGAGAGGAGGGGACCAAGGCGACATGGCCTCTAGGATGTCTCCATCTCTGCTGTGAATTTAGCTCAGAGTCTGGATGACAGCTGAGTCACAGCAGTGAGCCCCATCTGCAAACAGGGGGCTGGACTGAGTGGGCTCAGAGAGGTAAGAGAAGACAGAACAGTTTCTGTCTTAACTCCTCTCCACTTATCAGGTCCAGCTTGTCCCAAACTCCATAGGCCCTCTTTCCCCAGTGACCCCATCCCAGCCCTACCTCAGGGCCCTGGAGACTGAGTGGGCTGGGCTGGAACCCTGGCCAGAGGAAGACTCTCAAACCAGGGGGAGACATGTGATGGGCCGCGCGTGATCCACCCCTTGCACGCACTCCCTGCGTCCCCAGCACCCAGCCCCCAGCACTGACGCTCAGGAGCCCCAAGAGCTCAGGACTTCCAGCTGCAGCCAGGCCACAGCTGCTCCCGTGGCCATGCCAGCCTGATATGCACCTGGGGCTAAAAGCATTTCCTAGAATTAGGGGTAGAGATTCAGATGCCTTGAGAAACTCCATTTAAATAAACAACCATCTGGCTTTTTTAGAACTCCAAAACAGGGTGAGAGCCACCCCACCTTTGGTTAGCCCCCTAGGCGTAGTCACATGGCCCTCAGTCCTGTCTGCCCTCCGGAAGGGTCATTTGCAAGCCCGGACTTGGCAGAAAGCAGCAAGGAGCCTGGCCATAACATCCAGCCATTGCCAGAGCCCGGGAGGGCACAGACCCTGTTCACTGGCTCCTGGGAAAGTTCTCTGGGCTAGGACCCTGGGCTCAGCAGAGAACACAGAAGAAAATGGCACAACCCAGAGAGGAGACAACCCCTCGGAGGCAGGCCAGAGAGAAAGCAAATGCTCTAAGGCCTCTATGCTGGTAACGCCCAAATTGGACTTGGGGGGAAGGCCCCCAGATGTGTGAGCTACATGCAGATTCCTTGGGTCCAACTCATCTCCTGACTCACATTCATTTGAGGACAAGGTCTGAGAATCAGTGTTTTCGGCAATCCCCATGGAACTGCCTTGGGAATGCCCTGTGTTCTGCCATCAACCCCACTCCCACTCCTGCCCCTGGAAGATCATTACTGGTCAGCCATCTGTACAAAGTGTCTGTGGAGCAAAGTCCAGTGTCTCTCCCGACCTGCCCAGGCTGAGCCCCAGCCTCAACCCCCTAACGTGATGCGGGGCAGCTCCATTTTCCTTGAAACATTAACATCCTCTGTTCAACTGACTTGTGGGGGTGTTGGGAGATGAAAGTTGGGAGAGAGTCGTTTAGTCCCTAAATCCCGGGGCAAAAGAAAGATCAGAGTCAACAGGGGCCAGGCCCTGCAATTCCACATCCAGTGCTCCAGGACAAAAGAAAGAAATGGACAAAATAATATTTCTTTGCTTGATATGTGAATACAAACTGTAATCCAGTGGGATGTTTCCCCCACTGCACCACACACTTCTAATTCCTATCTATGTCTCCAGCAAGCACGTGGTACCTGACAAGGAATGAAACCATTCAGTATACATCTGAGGGAGCAAGGGCGGGGCTGAGGGTTTCATTCAAGAGATTATATGTGAAGTCAAGACTAGAAGTCAAGACCCAAGACGCTAGAGGGGTCAGGGTCTTACCTGGTGCCTCTGATAGGCTGAGAACATTTTTTCAAAGTCCTCTAGGTCCAGAATCCGAAATACCTGCATGTCATCAATCTCATTCCAGACGGTGCCAGGGACACGTTCCTAAGTCGAGGGCAGGGAGAAGACCCCACGGTTGACTCAACTCCATTATGGAGACGTCTGGTGCCTCCCTAACCCCGCCTGTCCCTCAACTGCACACATAACGACAGCCAGGCTTTCAGGCCTTCAGAAGGGGCTCAATTCCTCCCCTCAACTCCCACCCCTCTCCAACACACTGCTCCAGGGTGGAGGCCAGAGACGACCCTCTTCTCCTCCCTTTCATGCGGGGCCATATGGAAGTATGTTCCAGAAATCACCAGGAGGGCAGGAGTGATGGGTGGGCAAGTATGAAAGGGGGTGCAGTGTACTCCTTCCAGAGAAACAAAAACAAAACCAACACTCTCAGGGCACTCGCCCGAAAGTCAGGCTTGGCTGGAATCATTAGAAGGAAAAGTGTCCACACATACTTGGGATCCTCAAAGCCTCAGGGCTGACTCCATTTCCCGTATCTGACAGGGTCATTTTCTCTCCCAGGGGTCTTCCTCCCACTTTCCCAGATTCCCAGAAAGTGGACAGACGCCAAAGTCTGGAACATCCTGCCCCCTATAGTGACTGCTGAGGCCAGCAAGATTCTGCCACAATTTCCTGTTGGTCAGACCCAGAGAAGGTGTCCCAACCCTTATGATTTGGCTGGGCCCAGGATTTATATTCCAAGGTCCATCAACTTAGGCATTGCCCCATCTCTGGGTAGGACCCTTGCATTGAACCCCTACCCCAGAGATTGGGGAGGAGCTGTTAGCCAAGCCCAGAACCCTCCAGTTGTCTTGTAACATCCTGATAATGGCTTAGAGGACAGAGAGCAGGGCTCCCCTCCCAGACGCTCCACCCCTCTCCTCTTAGGACTCCCCACCTCATCCAGAGCTTTGCTGTCCCCTAAAACAGAATCTCCCCACCTTCCTCTGCCTGGAGGGCAGCCAGGGAGCCTTCCTAAGGCTGCCTCCTCCTCCCTTCATCTCCCCCTCAGCAAGGCTTGCAGAGGGAAACATACCTTTCACTCACTTTTATTTTCTTAAACTCTGGAAAGGGGAGGCTAGGCCAGAGCAGGGGGTGGGGACATTCCTGTGGCCTTCCTAAGGCCAGGGACCCTCTTGTGGAATGCCGGGCTGGGAAGCTCGGAGCAGCAAGGGATACAGGCAATTGGCCAAACCTAACACAGACGCATTCTTTTCATGGCAGAAATAACCACTGTGTGTGTGTGTGTGTGTGTGTATGTGTATATGTGTGTGTACACAGGAGCACGTGTGAGACAGGCGAAGGAGAGGGGAGAGGAGCTAAGCTCCTGGATGGGGTACATGGGAAGCAGAGAGAAGATGGGAAGGGGAATTGAATTGAAAAGGGGAAAAGGGAGGTGAAATTTCTTATTCACTCCCCATCTACAGTTAGGCCTGGCGTGGAGGTGGGTGCAGTGGGAAGGCCCACAGAGGTAGAACGTCGCACTGCTCTTCATTCCTGGGCAGGCCAGATGAGAAGGAAAGGGCTGGACTGAGAGAGCTGGATATCAACCCCAGGAAGAATTTCCCACAAGATGAGAGATGAGCATCCGGGCTCTCCCCCACTTCTTCCCACTCTCCCTTCACCCTATTTGCCAGAAGGACTTGGGGCTCTTAGTGGAGGTGTAGCTGAGGTCTGCAGCCAGAGAGAGGTACATCATTCCTAGTACTCTCCACATCCTAAATGTCACCAAGTCACCCTGATGTGCCCGCCTTGTATAATCATTCTCAACTTTGTTATACCTCTCTGGCCAAGATCTCATCTCCTCCAGTCTAGATTCCTGGGACTTCCTGCTTCAAGAGACAACCCTTACACGCCAGGGAAATCTCTCTCAGAAACACAGTTCATTATGTTTCCTTCAGAGGGCATTTGGGATCAGACAGACCTAGCCAGCTGCTCTCCCAGCTTCATCACGATTGGGACTGTTGGCCAAGGGAGGGGCGCTGCTCTTTTCCCACGTCGCATAAAAGGAAACTGAGTCTCAGTGATGCTCATCTGAGCTGAGGTGGGGATTAGGTGAGATGACATACTTAAAGCACACATGACAGTGCCACCAATAATTAATCTAAGATTATTAAGCCTTTCTATGTGTCAGTCACTGTTCCAAGTACTTTATATGTATTGTCAATTAATCCTTTCAACAATCCCTTGATACAGATATCATAACTACCCCCATTTTACAGATCAGGAACCTAAGGCCTAAATGATGAAATAACCAGCCCCTAGCCACAAAGTAAAAGCTTGGGTCCGGGTAACAGGTTCTCAAATACTCCTTGATGCCCATCCACTCCACCCTGCTGAGAAACATCTGCAACTCCTACGAATGCGCTCCACTGCATATCCACCAAATCTATATTTTCCCGTCTAGGAATGAAACTCTGCCCTGCTCGGGGTCCCAGAGGAATTTGTACAGACTTTATTCTTATTGGACCCTAGAGAAAATGCTAAGCACAAAGCTCTGTATGATGAAAATGTTGCAAAGATATTAGTTGCCATTCTGTCTTCCTTAATTGTCGAGGTGCCTAATTAACTTTTCATTACATTTTTAAAACCTTAAAGGTAAGTTATAAGTACAGGAGGCAAAAAAGATTTCTTTTTAATTAAGATAAAAACTACGATTTCTGATGATGAACAATGAATGTTTCCACACAGCCGGTGGCCTTCGGCTCTGCAGAGCTGTTTCCCTGCTCGTGTGCAGTTGGCCTTTCTGGCTCGCCTCGTGACCTGGAGAAGCATCCACAAGGCACACCTGTGCAGTTGTCACAAACTGTAACAATGTTGCTTCAAAATGCTATTAACAGGTGGCTCTAAAATTTTAATAACTCAAATTAGAGATGTTATCAGAGGCCCAGGAGACTATGAATGGGCTGTATTCAAGCTTTGTCTTCCTACCTACATCATGAAACCAGAGGTAGAAGGAATCTTAGAGATCATCTCACAGATGAGCAAACTGAGACAAAATGAGCGATTTCCACAGGTCACACAGTTAGTTCGGTCACACGGTTTGAGCCAAATCTCCTTTAATCCATCCCCAGGATCTCTAGATGTTTCCTTGAACACACTTCCTGATTTGCCATCTCCAAAGCTCTTACAGGGTAATGTTATATCTCACTTTTTATTATCATCGGTCACAGCCCCAGCAAAAAGCTTTACACAAGCATACCTCAGACTGAGGGGCTAGCTGGTTGACCATGAGGGGAAGGCACCTGACAAACAGCTGACCACCTCCTTAGCAATCCTGCGTCTCTCCCTACTTAAGCCTCTACGAGCGAATTCAAGCTCATAGAATAGTACAGTTACAAATTCCCCAAGAGTGAGTCTGCAGGCCCAGTCGACAAGGTCAGAGGGGTCCATTAGTCTCAGCTCCAAACTGTTGTTGAAATGTGAGTATGGGCCAGGCTAACTGAACTCAGTGAACCTGCATGTGTTTACCTTAAGAGCAAAGCCACTGGTCCTCTTAATAGGACACAGTGCAGAACCAGAGGCAGGGCCTGACCCAGGCTGGGCCTGACCTTCAGTTACTAGGGGTCCAATGTGACCCAGAGCATCTCTACTCTATGCTCATGAGCGTTCAACAGAGGGATCAACTCCTACACGTGGGCCAGGATTGGTGATTATCAGCGGATAACATTATGAGGGCCTTTCACTGCTGAGCAGTCTAGAAAAGTAGTCAATGTGTGCACCTGCCCCTGGGAGGATGCCAAAAGGGCTACATCTAGACCTCAAACTCTTCATTGTAAGGGCACCTCTACACCCTCCCCTTGTTAACCCTGTTGTGGCCTCTTCATTTCAGTCCTTTGTACACATTGCCCCGATCTTTACCGTCTCTAGACCTTAGCCCAAGCTCTTTACCTACAACTTCCACCTTTGTCCTCAAATTGACACTATCCTGAAAATTCTAGCCAAGCCCTTGTCTTATCTAGAAAGTACTCCTGCTGGGCCCATGCCCTGATATCTAGATTACTCCATTAACCCTCAGCCCACACATATCCATTTGTAGGTGGCTTTGCCAACATGAGCATTACCACATGCCAAGCCATCTCCTCTCATTATAGATGCTCTTCCCAGTGGACAGTGAGCTGCCTGGTGTCAGCAACCCCATCTTCTGCATCTACTCTGTCTACCCTACCCCTAACAAGAAGGAAACCCAGGTGGACATCTGCAGACAATGAGCAGGCAATCCATGGGGCTGGCTGCCACTGGCTGTAAGAGATCCACTGACCTCCCTCCTTGTTACTCACCTCATTCAGCTTGACCCAGTTGAAGGACTTCAGTGGGTGGGAAGGCTGGGGGACACACTTCTTCCTGAGTGGGGTTTCACTGCTGGGGAAGGGGTCTGGAGGGAGAGGGAGGCCCATGCTGAAGCAAGGTGGGGCACCAGGGGGAGTGGGAGGCCCCCCGGGTGGAAGGGGTGGTGGTGGCGGTGGGGGGCAGCAGACAAATGGTAGAGGGGGCGGGGGTGGAGGCAGGTCGTTGGTTGTCATCGAGGAAGACAAGGTAAGTGGGCCCCCAGGAGGAGGTGGGGAAGATACAGGTCCTGTCTGTGGGGAGATGGAAAAATAAAAAAAACAGAGCCATCAGCAATGATGCTTTTCAGGTCTCCCCTCTGCGCCTCACTCTCAGTCTCCACTACATTAGACCCAAAATCCTGCTCTCACCTCCCATACACTGTTAGCCTCTCATTTTCTCTGTGTTATAGACATCCAACACACATACAGACACAACCACAGACAGACACACACACATAAGTCAAACACCCATATGTAGACACTGGACAAAGTCATCGTCAACACAGGGCCAAGAGCAGGATTGGTACACACAGTTGTGTAGGCTGCTACTTGCACAAGGGCATCCAGCTGAGAGGGGCAAGGGAGCCAAAATCCCACCTGCGCTCTGCTTCCAAGGTGTGCTTCCCAGGATGGTGTCACCCAGAGGAGGGAGCATTACTGTTTCTAACATAAACAGCCTCAGGGGTCCCCCTTATTCTGGCTTGAGATCTCCTCTCTCTCCTCCCTCATGTGGGGGCCTTGGCCCCTCTCTTTCCATCCTATCCTGAAGGTCTCAGATCAACTGTGTGAAAGGAGAGGAGGATGCCCACGTACCGAGATTTCACTGAGTTGGGCTACCAGCTCTGCTACTTGTCCCCGAGCCTGGCGCAGCTCCTGGGACTCTCGGGCCAACTTGTCCTTCATCTTATTCAGCGTCCGCATCATCTCTTCCTTCTCCAACGTCTTGGTCTCACATTCTCGCTCTTTCCTCTCCAGCCTGCTCACCAGCTCTGTGTGTTCTGGAATGGGGGTGGGACAGGTGAGGGAATGAGAAAAGAGAATGTGAATGTGTGTGTCCCCCTCCAAAGGAGGGGATGGACCCTGGCTGGGCAGGGGAGGGGGTGTGTGGAGCGTGCAGCAGGTTCAGGCAGAGCCCCTCACCTTTCCGGAACTTCTCTGCCTGGTCTCGCCACTGTTTCACTTCATTCTCATTGATGAGCCTGGTGGGGAGCAGAGGGAAGGGGCAATGTGACTGTTGACCACTGGCTCACAGCCTCCCAGAAGACATGTCATCTTCCTATTCCCCACATTGGTGCTAATATCTCCAATCCATCCAGCCACATCAAGGAGGCTGGGATTTTGACTCTCCAGATGTCTCTCCAGGTCCCCATCCCTGCCCAGTTCTCGTTATGCATCCCTTGTGGACTGTGAGAGGTGAAAGGACCCTTGGGCACCTTATAGTCCAACTCCTTGTGATACAGTTGAAGCTCCTGAGACCAGAGATGGCGAAGACAGCTAACTACTGGTAGAACTAGGACTAAATCTCAGGCTTCCCTTAATTGTATAATGACTTATAACCCCTTGTGAAAACAGATCTTTGCTTCCGAGAGAGATCAAAATATTTGCCCTGCCATGGTCCAGTCTTCCAAAGACCACTGTGTAAGAGCAAGAGAAATCGCCCACGCCAACAACAGAATAAGTGTGTTGAGGGTGAAGAGGGGTATGTCTGAACTATAGGAAGCCCTCATTCATGTCAAACAAAATTAAGCTTTTACCTGGACATCAAGGTACAAGAGAGATGAAACCCCAAAGTAAAATCCCAATAATCATTTCTTTTGCAAATCTGAAAATGTGCAAGGCTTAGATCCAGGACTGCTGGTCTCTTCAACCAGATCAAGGGTACAAAGAGGACAGAGTATGGAGGGGAAAGATTTTGTGAAGAGATTTATTTGCAGAGAGCCACTGCTGTCCTCTCCAAGTGTGCTACCCTCTCCACCATCCAGTGAAGTGGCTTCTTTGGGCCCACTCACAGAGCTTTGACCGATGTTCTCTGTCACTGGGAGGGAGGCAGGATGAACTGGGGCCAGGCAGGTCCAGACAGTGAAGAAGCCTTAACGAAGACAGCTGTGCTGTGCTGGACCTGCTGGCACTCCTAGGGTTTGTTGGTACAGAGATTGCATGAGGGTTTCTCAAGGGCCAGATGTAAGCATCTTGGAGGAACTGGGCTGAAGCCATGTTAAGTCCTGTCCAAGAAGTCCACGTGGGAGAAAACCGGACACTTCAACAGTGTTTAATTCTGTGTGTGGATTGCCAGTTCATCAGGAGCTGATGGAAAATATGGTACCAGCCAGCCCCATAAAAAAAAAAACACCTTACGTGGCCAGGGACCATGTAAAACAGGGTTTTACAGTGAGAGGCACTCAGCAAGGAAGGTCTGAAGATCCTAGGAAGACATTTCATGACTTGTATGCCAAGCCTAGAAACCAGGGGCCTGTTTACTAAGTTATCTATCAAGTAAGACCTTTTCCCTTTCTCCTTCCTGCACCTACATTGTCTCTGGTGGGGTCAGAAACTGGTTACTACTGTAAAGGTGGGTAGAAAGAGTTAGAAGAGAAACTGATCTGAGAAAAGATGCCAACCATCTCACACACACACACACATACACACCCTTCCCACTGCAGCTTCCCAGCCCCAGTCTGGGATGGAGCAAGATCTAGGTTAAATCAAATCTAGTCTGATCATTCACACCTGGGACTAGAGCATCTAGCAGCAGATCTGAGACTGCGCTGGCGGCTGAAAGCGATCTTAGGGCTTCCATTGCCCAAGAAGCAGCAAACTTCATTGCCCCTGAGGAGTTTCCATCCTCTGGCAGAGGAAAAGCTTCCCCACTAAACAGTGTAAATAATTAGCAGAAAATAAAATTAAAAATAAAAATACAGCTGCTTTTTGATTACTTTACTAGTTGCACATGTCCAACATACCAGTTAGGACTTTAACTACATCAATACCCAACTACTTGTGCGAATGAAAACAGTAGCATGAATAGTTCAAAAGACATTTTCTGCTTGGCTTTGGGATGCAAAACAATGAATCACTGAGAGCCAATGTATCTCTTTAAGGGCAACTGGCTCAGACTCATTCTGAAAGTGAAGTAAAAGTTTAAATTTAAAAATCAGTGTGTTAATGTAAGGTCTGATGACTAATTGACTTGAAATTTGGTTCTCTGTGTTTCTCTCTACCCAGGGTCAGTCAAAGACGACAAGCCAGAAAACCTTAGGCTCTGACATTCTGTCCAAAAGCCTCATGGTTAAATGGCCATGCTCTGTATTATGGTCGGCAAACTTTCTGTAAAGGAACACAGTAAACATTTTAGGTTTTATATACTATGCACAGTCTCTGTCACATATTCTTGTGTTTGTTTCTTTTTAACAACTTTTGTAAAATGCGAAAACTGTTCTTATGTCATGGGCTTTACAAAAATGAGCAGGGGGACTGGAGTTAGCCCACAGGCCACAGCTCGCTGACCTCTCCTCTACGGGGTTTTATGTGTTTAAATTCCTTCTCTATCCACTTTGTGCAGTGGATCCTTGAGAATTTCGTACATACGTCATGTGGCTGGTTGAATTTAATTAAACTGAAATAAAATTTAAAATTCAGTTCCTCAGTCACACTAGCCAACATCCAGTACTCGGTAGCCACATTTGGACAGTGCAATTACGGAACATTTCCAGGATCTCGGAGAGTTCTATTGGACATTGCTGCTCAAGACCCATGTGGAGCTATCTGGTTTGAGAGAGGGAGCTGAGGTTTCACCAGTGAGACTGCAAGTAGGAGAGAGATGGAGCAGGAGGAAGAAGACAGGTGAGGGCTGGCCACTGCTCACATGTTGACAATGTTCTTGACATTGAAGTTCTCCAAGGGAGCAAGGTCAGGGTCCACGCCCCTCTCATCCTGGAGGACAATCTGCTGGAGGATGCGGTCCAGGAGCTGCCACTGCTGGAAGTAGCCACCATTCCGCTTGTCTGAGGGACAACAGGTATCACATTGTTACTGGGCCCTGGAGTCCCTGGGGCCCTGTCCTAGAGCCACTGTCTGGACTCAGGCTGGCGAGGCATGCCCTTCCTCCCCCTGGCAAGCTCCCAGTCTGCTGGGAGAAGCAATGCAGTTGCTGATGACAGAGAATCACAAATCCAGTCATTTCTTGATTATCTGCAACTGACCCTCTATGAATGTGTCAACCCTCTCAATGTACTTCTCCACTCTCTGAAATGCTTCCTGGCTGCCTTCTTCCCTGTCGGTACCCTGAGCATCCTATGCCTTGGGAATGCAAATAGCTTTTCACATTGTCTAAAAGAAGCACCTTTAAGAAAGTAAATCTGCTCTAAAATATTACACGCTGAATAATGAAATCTTCAGGGGAAATTTTAAAAAAAGGAAAAGGTTTAGGATTATCTATGCTATTGTTCTACAGGGAAAGATGAATGGAAACTAATTACAGGTATGCCCTGAGAGGGAATTGAATGGGCTGGGGAAGTGTAATGGAACCCAGGCAGGTTTCTTGGTGAAGGTGACCCTGAACTATGAAGGCAAAGGCATTGTTGTGTTGTGCCTGGTCTCATAGGGCCCCTCTCTCATGCCCTTTAACCATAGTCTGGCTGAACATGGACTTTCCTTTCCTGTAATAACCACAAGCTCTTCTTCCTTAGTTCTTAATCCCAAGCACTTCTCTCTACTGACGACCAAGAGAGGTCAACTAGTAGGATCGATCCTGACCTCAAAGTCAAACCATCATGCCTCCAAGGTGGAAGGTCGTATCTGCAAAACCCATCTGCAAAGAGCAGGGGCCCAAGTGTGTGGCCTGGCCCCCAGAGGGCGTGTACAGGGGGAGACTTGGTCAGACTCACCAACCCAGGGAGGTCCTGACGCCTTGTCTCAACCTGCCCCGGACCAGGGCTCAGACTGGCTGAGGGAAGCGGCAAGTGTGGGCTACTCACAGGGCATCTGCAGGCAGTGGTGCAGGACAGACAGCAGGCAGGGGTAGGCCTCTGTGTGCTTCAGCTTCTTGTGGATCAGCTCGAACATCTGGGAAGCACTCTTGGTGTCGATGTGGACCTGGGGGAGTGGAGGGTGCAGTGAATGGGGAGGGAGAAGGCAGTGGAGGAAGAGAACCGGGGAGAGAAGACCACTTCCATCCACTGAGCCCTGTCCCATAGGAGGGCGTTCCTCCCCCTGCCTCTGGCCCAGGCTTAAAAAGACAGAGACAGAGAAAAGGAGGAGGGAGATGTGCTAATTATCTAAGTGAGAGCTGCCTATACTTGGCACTACTGGCATCTCAGACTGGGTAATTCTTTGTTGTGGGGGACTGTCGTGTTCACTAGAGGGTGTTTAAGCAGCATCCCTGGCTGGCCTTTATCTATCAGATGCCAGTGGCATCCTCCTTACTCCTGTTGTGACAACTAAAAATGTCTCCAGACATTGCAAGTGTCCCCGGGGGCGGAGGGGTGTGTGCAAAAGCACTCCTGGTTGAGAAGTACTGATCCGAACCAAGGGAAGGAAGTAGGGCAACAGATGATTCAAGGAGCATGTGGCATAGGCCCACAACCTGGGTTCAAATCCCAGATCCACAACTAGTTGTGTGACAACAGGCAACTCCTTATCCTTGCTAGCCTCAGCTTCCTTATGGATAAACCCAGGGCTTTCGTGAGAATGTAACGGGATGGGGCTTGGTGACTGAAGCACTGCCCCAAAGTAGGTTTCGATTTGGGTAGGGATTCTCTAATGCAATATTTAAGCAACAGAGTTGTGTATTTTCAGGGTTACTAAGGCTAAAATAAAAATATGATTTTTTTTTTGCTAAGCATGATCTAGTTAGTGATGGAGAGAGGTAACTCAGGAATTTGCTAGAAGGCAGGGGGAAAGTAGCACAGGAGAGGCAGTTGAGACTAATGATATATAAGAACTGGGGGTTCTCTTTTATTTGGGGGTTTCAGCCTCCTAGGGGGTAGATGCCCTACCAGGTGAGGCCCGCCAGGTGAGGTCCACCAGGTAAGGTCTGCCAGGTGAGGCCCACCAAGCGAGGCCCATCAGAACCAACATACTGCCAGGGCTCCAAAGCAGGACCTGGCCAAGGGGGCACCCACCAGGGAACCCAGCCAACACTGGACCTACCACAGCACAGGATTGGCAGAAGTGACTGTGGGACCACCTGGGACCCCAATGCAGTCAGGCCAACCCTGCAGGCTCCTCACCATGTCAAATCTCCTGGCTAGCTCCAGGTCATCCTCATTCCGGACCATCTCGAAGAAGTCTAAATGCCTAGATAGGATGGGGGTATAGAGACGGTAGACATTATAGCCAGGACATCCCTGGTTGAGGGTTACAGCCCCTTCGAGCCCCCCACCGACTAAATCTGAAAGCTGCCTTCAGCATTCCTGGCTCCCAACAATTAATACCAGTAGTGGCCCCCATCAGCCAGTGTGAAAACCAGAGAATACTCCACATGCTTCCAAATGCCCCCTAGGGGGCAGTACTGCCATGGTTGAGGACTACTAGGCCCACCTGTCTATAACATCAGAGATGAGATGGCAGGTCAGCAAAGAGGACAAGCAGGGGTATAGGTAAGACGTGGGACAAGTGGGTGAGAGAGCTGTCCACCGCCCCCCACAGCTGATCCTGAATCGATGCTAGGTATGGCAGGTGGTCTCCAGTGGAAAGGACAGCCTCCATGAAGATCCTGACAATCCTCAACTGAGGCAGAGGTTTGCAGTGGGGACAGGTGGCTTGGGCCTTACTTGTCCAGGATGGCATTCTCGTGCTGCCGCAGTTTGTCAATCACAGGCTGTATCCCCAGCATCAAGAACTCGTACCGTAGATGTAGGCGGAACTCCAGATTATCCTGGGGGTCACCAAGGGAGGACCAGACTCATTGGCTGGTCTCAATTTCCACAAGAGTCCCCAGTGGACCCCTCATTGCCACTCTAGTCATTGTCTCACCACATCTCCTGCAGCAAACTCATCTGGAGCTGCTTCAAGTCCCACAGTTCCAAGAAAGGGAGAGATGAAACATCCTTTGACCTTGTTATTTACTACTTTGGGTCTCCTGCCTCACTTCCTTTAAGTCCCTTACTGATTTTCTCTTAGCTTTTGGCATCAAAGAGTTTGGCATCCAAACAAGCTTTGGAATCAGACAGATCTTGGCTCAAATCCCTGCTCTGCCACTTATTAGTTTTGTGACTTTGGGAAAGCCTTAGTTTTCTCATCTGTAAAATGGGCATGATCTGACTTACCTACAGGAGTGATATTCATAAAAATTACCTAAAGAGGTGTGGCTACCAACCAATCGGAACGGAGATCAGCCATAAATAGCTAGTACTGACAAAGGTGTTGTCAGCATCATAGGGACAGATTATTCCCACAATGCACCTCACCTAACTCAAGGTCATCAGGACCAGGTACAAAAGAAAAAGGATGCTGGCAGAAAAGAGGGAAAAGTAGAGATCATCAGATTGCCCCTTTTGTCCTTCAACCAGCTGACCATGACCGGGCCATCTGATTACCTTAGAATTTGGGGAATTTACCAGCTCTTGGAGTTCTTCTTCAATCATTGCTATTTTTATGACCTGAGAATCTCACTTTCACCCCAAAGGAATGGAAATCAGAAGGCATACCTCCTAACAGAAGGAGCTAGAAGAGCATGACAAGCCAACCCAGAAACCAGTCCAGAAGCAGGTCTTTAGAAAGCTCTAGAAAGAAGGGCTAACACTTGACCTCTTCCCATATATGACCCCGCTCTACCCTGAGCCATCTAGCCAGCAATCTTGGGGTTTGTCCATGACACATGTAATGCATGATACTACTTACGTAGGAAACTCCCTAGGAGATCTTCCAGATTTAGATAAAATCCAGAAGAATTTTGTGTAGAAGCAAAGCCAGCATTAGTCCTCACCACAAATTTTTAGAGTCACAGAGAAGACAGATGTGGGTTACATGCAACACTGCTCTGGCTGATGTCGTCTAGCCCTCATGACAGTGAAGTTCATGATGAGTTAGTCTTTCTTAGCCCCAAGTAAAGGAGGCAAGAGGTGATAAGGATTATCTGAAGACAATGATGATGGTGGCAGCCACACCAACCAGATGCCCTGGCCCCTTCCCTCTGCTGCTTCCCCAGGATGCACTCATACACTCTACCCCAGGTCCAGAAAGTCAGTGCATAGCAAGGGCAAGTGCCGGCACCTCACCTCTCCAGCTCCAGCATTGAGGACAGCATTGATAAAGGACATGATGGCTGTTTTCAGATTCACTTCATCCCGGTATCGGCCCAGACTTCGGTCTAGCTCATTCAGCAGTGTCTGGAAGGAAAGGCGGGACAGATAAAGAGAGGAGGGCTCAGGGTGCTACAAGTCCAGCCTCTGTCCCTCTGTTCCTGCCATTCCAACCACCCAGAATGCCCCATCCATTCTCTCTACCCAATCTATCCAGCTGATCGTGGACCTCCCCTAGAGCTCACTGTTTCCAGTCTCAGTCCTGCCTATTTCCTCCCGACTCAGCCTTCGGGGCTTGGTATACATTTTTGGGCAGTGCTGAAGTGCTGGTCAGCCTTTCACGGCTGTTTATGGCTCATCCATCACCCATATCCCTGCCCAGCTCCTTGACAGCACAGACACTGCCTTATATCCCTTTGCATCTTCTGCAAAGGGTCAGGGGCCACTTTCTGCAGAGAGTAGATGCTTAAAAGTGTTTGATGACAGAATAAACAGCCTATACTGGTGGATCAACCCCAAAGTTGGCAATGACAGTCCACATCTATTGAGACTTATTCTGTACCAAAACACTTCATACTTATTGTCTATCTCATTACTTTTCTGGGGCAGGTCAGGGAGAAGAAAAGAGAGTAGCATGGCCTGAGCTCCCAGGACTTGTTCCAGTGTCCACACAGTAGGCACTGAACCAGGCATAGAGTCTAAAACTTCGGCCCCAGCAACTGCATTTAATTCAAGGATTCTCGACTGAGCCCCTATAATGAGCCAGGCACTGGGCTCAGAGATGTAGAGCCACGAAAATGAAGCAGACTGATATTCCAGCCTCAAGGAATCCATGGTATAGTGAGGAATCCATTTTCCAAGCTATACTTATATATCTTGAGGCATCCCCCCACCATGTCCTTTTATATAAACCCTCTGGGTCCCAGTATTCTCTGCCTATTATCTTCCATGAGAGGGCATGCAATCTGAATTACTTCCTCCTTCTCCCCAGTTTCTGCTACAAAGAATCTTCAGTCCCTCACCCCCAGTATGTGAGGCTCCTGCCCCATCCCTGGCTGGTGCCCCACCCTCCGCCAGACCCCTCACCTGGAAGCGCGTCCTCTCGGCTGCATACACCTGGTAGTGTAGCATGGCCTGTAGCACCTTCTTGTGGCCACCGGGCACAAGGCACACGGCACCCAGGATCTCCAGCACAGCCACCTTGGTCTTGCTGTTTTCAGTTCGCAGGCTCTGGGCAATGGTGCTGATGGCCTCAGGCTGTGCCAGCACATGCGCCCGCCCTTGGGAGTTGTTCATCAGAGCCTTGATGCAGCCGATGAGGGAAGTGTGGATGCGGCTCTCGCAGGTGGCATGGTCCATGCTCCGGAGGAAATTGAGCAGACAGGTCAAGCCCTCCAGCTCGATGAAGCGAGTCACAAACCTACCCAGACCAGAGTGATTAGCAAAACAGGTATCCTGCATTTGTGTGTTACACATTTTGCAAAGAGTTACCCCATTATCTGTGTAGAACCTTGTCCCATCTACAGTAGCCCCTAAGTTCATTTATAAAGTTTACCTAAAGCACTGAAACCCTATAACCTCACAGAAGACTTATATCTTATTTGCATCTTATTTATTTATTATTATTTTTTGCTTGAGGAAGATTAGCCCTGAGCTAATATCTGTATCAATCTTCCTCCACTTTATATGTGGGTCACCGCCACAGCAAGGCCAACAAATAGTGTAGGTTGGTGCCCAGGATCTGAACCTGGGAATTTGGGCCACCAAAGCAGAGTGCAGGGAACTTAACCACTACACCACAGGCAGGCCCTTTATCTGAATTTTAAATACAATCATTGCATGTTATTGATTGTCATTTGCATAGCTACAACGGTACCTCTGCGAAGGGGATGATCATCATAATGATTAGGGCTGTTAAACCTGAAGATTCATCCCCAGTGAGGATAAAATTAAGAGAATCACAGTCAGAAGACAAGGAGGACTTCTAGACAGGTGGGCCGTCAGATCACTTAGCCAAGGGACCAGGGCTGGGAATGGTACTCTTTAAGAGATCCTTAAGAAGACAATGGAGTTATCTTGAACATTAACAGAAAACATTAAAAGCCATTAAATTCATGGGTTCTTAAGCTGGAGTCTGTGTTCCCCTAAAGATCTATGGCTAACATTTACAGATCCATGAAAAGAAAATGACACTTGTATTTTTGGTAACCTCTAACTGAAATTTAGCATTTCCTTTGATGATGAATGTAGGTAATAAGTGACAGTGATAGGAGCAGAATCTGTGACTTTGTCACCCAAAGAAATCCCAGCTATTTTCATATGAAATCAGTTATTGCAGGTATCTCAAAATATCATTTACACTTATCAGCACATCAAAATGACGGCAGTTGCTAGTTCTTGATGTTTAAGGCATAAATAAGCACATTTATGGCTACCTCACAAATTTTTAATATTTGGTGATTGTATTTCCACTTAATTGGCTTATTTTTAATCTTACCTATTTTTATCTATTTTATTTTATTATTTAAAAACATCATTCTGATAAGCAGTCAATAGGTTTGATCTGGGAGCCAAAGTCATCTGTGGCACCCGTGCACACGCAGTCTTAGAATCATCCACGATCTGAGGAAATGGCATAAATGGAACTTAAAGAATCACTACATATAATTAATACATTTGATTCAAGTGTATTTGTGTGTATTTCTGTAGCATTATACAAATATGACTAGAAAAATAGAATATACTCTCAGATTGCTAAAAGTAGGTATTATTTACTTTTTTCTATTATCTGCTTTTCTGTATTCTACAAAATTTCCACCATGACCATTTTGTCATGTGTAACTTTTGTAATCAGAATTTTATTAAGGGAATGAGAAATAAATTGAGGTGAGAGACAAACTTCCCCTCAGCCGCTCTACTTCCCCATCCTTCCTGCACCCCCTTCCTATACCAGACCTCCACCCCCACCCTGAGCGACAGGGTGCTCTCATTCTCCTTGCTGCTCTGTTTTCAGGCTCCTGGTGCAGAGAGCTCAGTCCAGACAACACACACACACACACACATGCACGCAGGCAGACCACTGTGTGCTGGTAAATGTTTAACAACTGGCTCTCTGGAGAAAGAAAAAACAGCCTGATTGTATTGTTTGCCAATTTCCATGGTATAAATACTCCAGCACAGCACATTTCAAGCTATCAATGTGACATCATTGAACGCAGAGTTGGGAAGAGATACGCTATTTATAGCATTTCCACCATGCGTTACACAACAGGTGTAAACTCAAGAGCACACATAACAGTAAGATGCAGTAAAATCATTAGGTAATTAGGGAGTGATAAGTTTCAAGTATTTATTACCTTTGTTTTTGATATCATTTATTTAATCATAAGTTTATATAATTTACATTTTAATCATAGCTATGTTTAACAACCAACTAGCAAAACTGCTAAAAATATAACAGTGGCTCTTACAAGCTGGTTCCCAGACACAAGAAGAGACTGTGGCTCTTGTCCCCTCTTTGGACCCTTGCACAGTTTGGCCTGGTAAGGGGCAGGGGTTCTTCTCCGGCCTTTGAGACATCCTCCCCTTCTCCCTGGCTGCATTGATCCCACTGTAGATGGGGAAATCTCATCCACAGACACCACATCTCCCCATAGTGGCTGGAGTATTTCTCACCTACACTCCCCTCCTCCAGGCTGGGGCATCCACCTGCCCCTCATTCTTAGAAAGGTCTTCTTATACACCTTGTCTGTTTGGCCACCCTCCCTCCTGTTCTATTCTCCCATGAAAAACAAGTACCTGCCCTCAATTTCTCTTCAGATAGCTCTTCAGGACCTGTGGTTTATTCCATTTTCCTACATTCCTCTCTCCTGCTCCCCTACATGCCCACCCCTGGCAGCCTCCCAGCTCCTCAGAGAGAGAGGGAGCGGGAGCTGGGAAGTGAAGTGAACTCCAGGGAAGGCTGGGCAGTGGAGCTGGCCAAGGGGACAGGATGGGAGCAGAGCACTGTGTGAAGCTTCAGGAAGTCAAGGGGAACCACCTGAGTGAAGGGACATAGAAGGAAGTGAGGGAAAGGGTAGCAGTGAGTCACCTCATGGGCTGCGTCCGAAGAGCTGTCTTCAGGTCTTCTACGATTTGGTTCCTCATCTCTGTCTCCTCCTCGTCAAATGCGTACAGACTCTGCATCTGAGGTAGGTAGAGGGGGTGAAGGTCATGTGGATGGCCCAGCCCCCTGCGCCTCCAGCCCAGGTATGACCCAGGGGCCACCCTCACCATAGGAGGGGCGAGCCCTCAGGGGATGATTTACGGAGACAGAGTGTCAGACTCTGAGAAGACCCAGGTTCTGGTCCTGGACTTCACTTTCCTCATCTGTAAAATGGGAGACTTATTGACCTAGCCTATTTCCCAACCCTGTGGGACATACAAATGGTTAATAAATATTTTTACGGTGGGGGGACTCTAAAGCCGCACAGAGGAGGGAGGGATTATGATAAACTCTCGGGAGTAAGCGGAAAGCTGCTGAGCCCCAGTGAGTGGGATGTGCTGTGCAGGGGAAGATGGGGGACGACCACTCTCCCCATAGCCCTTGCAGGTGGGGGCAGGGCAGGAGCGGAGCGCCACTCACCGCAGCCATGGAGTTGATGCGGTCAATGTAATAGTCAGGCCAGCTCGTCGCCAGCTTGTTGGGGTCCTCCTGCTCCTGGAACAAGAAGAAAGACTGTATGGACCCACTGACAAGGCAGGCCATGGCCTGAGATCCTGAGCTTCCTTCCTTGGCAGCAGAGAGATTCACTTCCCAGCCCCACCTGGAGGGGTGACTTCGAGGAAGTCACAAACTCTCCTCAGGCTTCCATTTCTTCCTTGGTAAAATGCGGACAACGAACATTGACTCTCATGACCAGCCAATCACGTGGGCAGAAACCACACAGGTATGTACACTTTCAATGAGCAATATGCATAATTAAAAAAGATATTTTTCCCTGTTATATTTGTTCTGGCTCTATTTAATAAAGTTAAGTTTTATGTCTGTTGAATCTAATAAAAATTTTTGCTTATACTTTTGCACATCTGTTTTTTCAAATTTTCTGATAATATCATTCTCATTGTATTTTACAAAAATATTGGCCTGTGATGGTTTGGAAATTTAAAAACTTGGTCTTTCTCTCAGAGAGTTTGAGAAGCAGTGATGTAAATCATTTGATGCAGTGCCTGGCACACAGTAGGTGCTCAATAAATAGTAACTTTACAAAAAGAGGGAAATTGAAACTCCCAAGACCCTGGGTTTTGGAAAGACTCAGGGGTCCCTCATAAGGGTCTATCATAGCTCGGTGGCCCGGCCCTCAGGTCCCAAGAGAAAGCCTCAACTCCTCCCCAAGTGTGGACAAGAATGATGGGAAACGGATAAATATTAATGCTGATGGTAAACCCAGCCCTCTCCTCCAGCCAATGGATCTGCCTGGTCCTGTCCCCCACTCATCGGCACGTTCCCCTTCATCCGCTTTCTGCCAAGCTTCCAGCTTCCAAATCAGCGTGAAAACTTACCTCCTCCAGAATCTCCCTAACAAACTGCCTGTCTGCTGGCCGGCCTGGATTCTGCCCTGCCTCCCTCAGCTCTGTCCACTGGGGTTCACAAATGTGTTTCGTAAAATTTAAATTTGAGACCAGTGGGAAGGCTGCCTTGATTTGGTCTTCATGACTGCACGTGGCTGCATGTGTTACATCTCCACGACTGAAGCCCCCAAATTCTACCTTCTACCTTGGGTGGGGAGGGCTGATCACAGAACCAAAGACAAATGCATCAGCCAACACATCCTTTCCCGCCTTCACTGGCCCGTCACTTATCCAGGCCACGTGCATTTAATGAGCACCTACTTAATGCCAGTCACCATACTGAGCCCTAAAAATACGGGGAGCACAGAGTCAGCCTCTGCCTCCCATAAACGGCCCAGTGCCAGAGGCAGGGCGATAAATGCTCTGTGGCAGAACTAGTCATAGTGGACCACGGAAACCCGGAAGGTGGGGATCTAACACAGAAAGCTTGTGAGGAGAGTGGGGTAGGCATCGGAAAGGACTGGGCTGAGTTATTAAAGATTAGTAAAGCCAAGACAGGTGGGAGGGTGTCACAGACAGAGAAGTACCATGTGGGAAGAGAGGGGGCGTGAAAGTGTATGGGAAACTTACACATCATTTGTTTTGGAAATTAGATAGAGACATCCTTGCATTCTAATAACTTTTATTTTAGCTGTATAAGAGATCGACTTAAGGGAGCTCCATAGTAAATCAATTTGGAAAGTGGAGAATCATGAGAAATGATTAATTACTCCTGAAATTTATTTTCTCCTCCCTCCCCTCCTCTCTCCCAAGACTTGAACTTTTTTTAAGACCTGCTTTTCTCACAGTGAGATTCCTGGACACCGAGCAGAGTATTCTGTGGGTGCTTAATAAAGGTACATTGAGTATACTGGACAATAGCTTGTAGTGTGTGCAGCCCAGGCATCTCGTCACAGATTCTCGGACTCCAGCAGCCCCGGGTTCTAGCGACGGTGCAGCCACTCGCCATAACTGGCTGTGACTTTGGGTGAGTCCATTGCCTCTCTAGGCTTTCCTTGCCTCGTATGTAGAATAAAGGACTACATTGGATTGTTTCTCGGCTCCTTCCAAATCTAGAGTATGTAGGATTCGAATCCTCTAATTTTATAAGGTCAGTCTGGCTCAGTACGGAGCCCTGGATGGGAAAAATATCCTGAGCGAGAAGAGTAAGGAAAGAGCCAGGACTGGGCTTCAGGGAGCATGAAGGAGAACCAGCTCAGAACCGCCCCAGACCTGCCTGTCTTCTCCCAGGAGGGAGACGGTCTGACCCAGGCGCAGGAATAACCAGGTCCCACCTCCCAAACACCTGTCTCTGAGGTCCACGGAACAGGCTGCAAGTCTGAAAAATTGCAAGGGGAGAGGGGAGAAGAGGAAGGTGGGCTGAGAAAAGAAAAACAGAATGAAAGAAACAGGCTTAAATAGAAAGAGGGCAAGAGAGACACAGAAAGCGATGAGCAAAAGAGACACAGAGACAGAGAAAGACGGAGGAAGAGAGAAGAAAGCACAGCCGCAGGGAAAGCAGAGGGGAGGAGAGAAAATCCAATTAAGCCCTGAGTGGAGCCCGGTACACCCCTCTCTAGGGAGGATCACAGTCTTTAATGAAGGAGAGGAGAGGGAGGAAAGTGGGGGGGAGAATGGGGACTGATGTGTGACCCTGATGTGCATGCTGCCCTGTGAGGCTGAGCCTGGCACATGCTGGAGGCTAAAGAATCAGAAGAGAACCCCCCTCAAACTGAGTCCTTACAACAAAGCTGCCCCAGGAATGGCCCAGGGCAGCACACCCTCCAGGCACGGGCACAGGCACCAGAAGAGAGTCTAGACTCGTCATCTGCGTATCTCTCTGACCCAGCACCACTCCTGGAATCTAGCAGGTACCTGCCTAAAGGCTTTTTGCAAAACAGAATCCTATTTCCCTGAGCGTAAGCTCCATGAGAGCAGGCATTTTTCCCCCTGTTGCTCCTCCAAACCTAGGACAGTGCATAATAAATATCTGTTGAACGAATGAGGGAGCTTGGAGGCATGAGCTGCCCCATGCTGTGGACCCTGAGGTGGCAGTGCAAGGGGTCAGAGAGCGCACCTTCTTCTTGCTGCAGTAGATCTGCCATTTCTTCTCGGGGGGCAGCGCAAACACAGCCTCCCGGTTTTTGTCGGTGAGATCCAACTCATCCTGCAAAGATAAGAAACGTGTCTGAAACCCAGGATGGTTGACATTAGGATATTCAGCCCTACAGGAAATTATACTTTTCCCAAAACTATCTCTCAGCCTATCTTCCTCCAAACAGCACCAAAGATATCACAGGGCAATTCTTTTTCTGCTGGAAATACACCCTCAGCCCCTGCTTCAACCCAAGCCTGTGCTGCTTCTGTGCTGCTGCCCTTGCTTCCTGTCCACCCCACCTTGTCCCTACAAGTTCCCCCGCCTCTTCCAGGCCCCCGTTCCCTGCCCATCTCCTGCATTGCTCTGCTAGCCCCTAATCCTCTTGCCCGGGATTTCTCATCTTCCTTCCCTTGTCCTTCTCAAGCTTGTTGACACCATAAGTCAAGGCCTGACAAAGAAAGGAGTCAGTCTACAGATCTAGCCCTTGCCTCCATCCTTCAAGTCTCCTTGCCCTTTGAGTCTTTCCCCTAGAAATTCTCTAGCTCCCCCAACCTTAGCATGGGGCCCGGCACAAGCTGAGGGGAGCTGGTGAGGATGAGGAGCAGAGCAACTCTCCAGGCAAGAAGGGTACGCCATACCAAAAGAGGTACTGATCTCCTTCCCATGGAGGTGTGCCTGCATGCACAAGGCTCAGGGCTCCACCAGGCTAGCCCACACTTCCCAAGGAGTAGAACTGGGAAGTTTCTAATGTCATCAAATTCAGGGTATCTCTACAGGTAGTTTGGGGTGACTTCATAGATTTGGCTGTGCTGGATGGCCCCTAAAAAGCTCTCTTCTTGAAGGTTCTTCTCCTATGATTCATGAATGATGCTCAGACTCAAGAAGGAAATAGTTAATGAGCCATGGGGAACATCACGTGCTTTCAACTCAATTATTCTGAGGGTTTCTTTTAATCAAAAGCAGAACTCACATTAAGACAATAAAGCATATTACTTACTTTTTACTTTTAAAAATGATAAACAGTGAAAGTAATATCTAAGAAAGAATAAGCGTCTTAGATATCCATATTTATACTCTTGTCTCTATACTTTTATTCAAGGGAAAATGTTTAAGACTTTCGTTCACCTAGATCAGAACTGTCCAATAGAAATATAATGTGAGCCACATGTGTTTTAAGAATTTTCCAGTCATATTAAAAACTTAAGAAATAGGTGAAGTTAATTTTAACACTACATTTTATATAACCCGAAAAATCGAAAATATGATCATTTCAACATGCAATCCATGTAAAAAATTATGAGATATTTTCACCAAATCTGGTGTGCATTTTACCCTTACATCGTCTCCATTCAGACCAGCCACACTTCAAGCGTCTAGCATCCCCAAGTGACTAATGGCTACCATCTTGGACCGCACACACAAAGATGATTAGAAACAATGTCCATCAGATCATCTGCTTTTGGAAATAAAGACTTCTGCAGGTCTAATGCTAATGAAAGGTTCTTACCCAGAACCACTCTCTACATGGCCCAGGAATGTCCTTAGTCAAAATTCCCAGAGCCCTGCTCGAGGTTCCTGCAGTATTTCCTTTTCTATGCTCAGATTCAGAAATAAAAGAAAAAGTAGAGTTACGTGCATCTTACATTTGCCAGCAGAAACTCTGCATCTCTTCTGCTTTGCTTACAGTCAGTTCCACCTGGACTGCCCTCCCACCTGGCCTGTGGACCCTGGTCTAATTCCCACGCTCAAAGCTGGCCTCTTCCAGCAAGCCTTCCATAGACTTTCCATGTAGGAACACCTCTCTCTTCCCAAAGTCCAGAGCAGTTACATTCAACCTTGTGTTCTGCTTATTTATGCACTGTCTTTTATTACCAGTGGCCTCTGTCACTAAATCAATGGACATTTCTTCTTGATTTTACTCAGCCCAGTTTGCCTACGACTCTGCCGGCCATTCACTCCTTACTGAACCTCTGTTCCCTGGTTTGACAACCACACTCTCGGGCAGTCCCTCCTGCTCACTCTATGCTCTTCCTGAACTCCGCTGATGACTTCTCTTCTCTCCCACTGTCAAATGTTGAAGTCCCTCAGGGCACCATCCTGGGTCCTTTTCTCTCTTCCCTATGCTTTCCACAATGAAGCCTTCTCAGTCATTCCCAAGGACTCAGTTATTATCTCAAACTCTCGCAAACCTGTACCCCCCAGGCCACCAGTTTTCTGAGCTCCAGACCCCGGGACCCAACTCCTCCTGTACCTGCCTACTTTGATGTCCCTCTGGTACCTCATACACTTATGTGGTGTTACTATGTGCCAGGCACTGTTCTAAGTGCTTAACGTTTACTCACTTATTTAAAACTTGCAACAACCCATTTTACAGATGAGGAAACTGATGCACAGAGAGAATGTGCAAATTGAGTTCATTATCCAAGCCCCCTTAACCTGAGTCTCCTCTGGCCTGTACAGGGGCCCAACATCCACCCAATTCCTCATGTCAGAAACCTGGGTGTTCCTTGATTCCTACGCATCAACCCCACCAAGGCCTATTATTTTTCCTCCTCAGTAGCCCTTGAATCTGTCCACTCTCTCCATCCTCACTGCTAACACTTCAGTCCAACCCACCACTCTCCCTAGCTTGCATTGCACCAACAGCCTCCTAATGGTCTACCCAGAATCCTTCTTCAACAGAGTACCCTGAATGGTCTTTCAGAAAAGCAGACTGGATCACCCCAAACCCCTGCATAAAGCTTTCAGTGGCTTTCTATCTCCCTGAGGATTGACTCAAAAATCCTTAGTTATTCTTGTCTTCCTGGTGTCCTCCAAAATGATCTGGCTCTTTTCTGACTTGAAACTCTCACATATGCGTCTGCATGGGACCCTCTGTCATTGTTCTGCACCCCCATTCACTTACCTAACCATCACTCTACTTTCAGATCTCTGTGGCAATGTCACCGGTTCAGGGAGGCCATCATGACCCCCAGTCTAGAATAAAGCTCCCTGCTAGACACTGCCACAGTGCCCTGAACTCTCCCTTTCCCAACACTCCCCACGCTTGTCATTACTGTTCAAGATCAGTCTCCCTATTAGACTTCACATTCTTGGAGGCAAGGACCATGCCTGGTGGCTCCTCACTCAATGCCTGGGACCCCCGTAGGGCCCAGCACACAGCAACCTCTCAAGAAATATTTTTCACTTGTTTGATCAATACCTGATGTTAGTCTCCTTGCAGACAAGACTTGTCTGACTCATTCTTACTTTTGCCAAAGTACCTTGCAAGGATCCCTGCCTACTAAAGATGCTGGATAAATACTTATTGAATAAAAGGGCCAAAGAAAGAACACCTCTCGCCATCTCCTTCTCTCAAAACTCATGCACTCTGTTCAAGAAAATATCCCTGACTGTGATAATGTCAGAAACATACTTTCGATCTTTCAGTTCCTATCATGGATCTTTCAGCTCCCAGTTCCTGGCATAGAGCTCCTAAATCCCTTGGAATTTCCTGGGTGATAGGAGCCTCTTTATTCTTGTGAGGCAACTCTTGGTGGGACCCTCGGTGGCTTCCAGATGCATTCTAGTCACCAGAAAGATCAAGCCCTGATTAGAAGCCTAGAACTTTTAGCCCCACTTCCCAAACTCCAGGGAGAGAACAGGAGCTGGCGATTGAGTTAAAAATCTATGCTGCCTACATGATGGAACCTCCGTAATTGCCCCTAAATGGCAAGGCTCAGAGAGCTTCTGGGTTGGTGAGCGCATTGATGTGCTGAGAGGGTGGTGCACCCCAAACTCCTCAGGGACAGAAGCTCCTGCACTCAGACCCTCCGGGCCTGACCCTATGTATCCCCTCATCTGGCTGTTCATTTGTGTTCTTTATAATAACCTTTATAATAAACTGGTAATAGTAAGTAGAGTGTTTCCCTAAGTTCTGTGAGCCGTTATAGCAAATTATCGAACCTGAAGAGAGGATCGTGAGAACCCCTGATTTGTAACCAAGTTGGACAGGAATGTGGGTAACCCAGGGACCCACTACTTGTGACTGGTTTTTGAAGTGGGGGGCAGTCTTGTGGGTCTGAGCCTTAACCCGTATGGTCTGCACTAACTCTGGGTAGTTAGTGTCAGAATTGAGTTAAATTTTAGGACATCCAGTTGGTGCCCTCAGAGAACTGGAGAATTGCTTGGGGTAAAAACCCACACATTTGGTGTCAGCAGTATTCTGAGTATAAAATGGATCTCAGTAGTACTAACACCAATCAGGCTCCAAATGTTATTCTACTCTAGTAAATACTTTGTTCTCTCCCACCCATGCCCCATCCTGAGGAAAGGTATCCAGCAGAACAACAGTGAGTTTTCTCGAACCTAATGTGATGAGGAAGGTGGACAACTTTTTCCCATAACCTGCATGGTCTCATCTTCAAGTGCTCTTGTTATTTGAAGGGCTACATTGCCTTCATCAGGTACATCCACTATTGACTTCAAGCATGACACCCCATTTCAAATCACATAGCATTGTTTCTCACTGGCTTGACTACTGGCCAAGTACAAGAATGAGTGACCAAGAGCTAACGGTAGATGGACTTGTGTTCATTGCTCTAGGCCAGGGTACAGGCCTGAGTCCTGGGCATGGGTCCTGCATCCCTGATCTGAACATTTCTTGCTCTGTCTCACCATCAGATCTCCAAAGAGAGGAATCCTGCTTCTTTTCTGTCCTGTCTCTTTGTGGTACAGGAGTTCACCAAAGACATGGTGCTGCTCTGGTCTGGATGGGCATTGCAAAGAGTCAGGAAGAGCCGCTACCAGTGTGAACAACCGAGCTTCCACCTGCCCCAGGCTAGACATGGGATATAGTTATCCCGGACCTGAGCCAGGTTCCAGGTGTGATACAGGCATCTCTACCTCCATATTTCTAGCCAATCATCCCCTGTTCTGGGACCTGGTGTCTGCCTAAAGAACTCCATTCTGTCCCTTCTTCCTGTGTCTGAGATAAAGGGATCCCAGAGAAATTCCAGTGAGCAGAAGAGAGAAAGGTATCGAGTGTTCTGATGCTCTTTGAGGCTCTTCATTGCCTTATTTCACAAAAGTCAGGTCCCATTCCTTTCTTGGTGACCTAACTGCTGCCCGATGAGGTCTAGAATCCAATGGAGATATGAGGTAGGTCCATTCTTCTGGGGACAGATGTCATGGTGTCCACTCCAGTGAGTGACTCTTTCTCCTACACAGCCGATGCATCCCAGGGGGCCCACCTCAGCCCCAAGCAGAGTGTCAAGAGGTGGAGATTCTAGCACCCGGGCCCCTGTCCTCTGTCCTGCTCTGCCTGCTCCAGCCATGCGCCTCACAATTGTCAACCCCTTTCCTTCCCTGCCCCCTCACTCACCACCAGCTCTGCGAAGCGGACGTTGAGCTCCTCCGGGTTCGGGATAGGACTGGAGAACTCCATGTACTGCAGAGGGTGGTTGTCCCGCAGGTTGATCTCAGGGAGGTCGCTGCCCCCGAAGCAGCACAGGAAGCCCAGGCCATGGCGGCTCCTCTTGCGGGGGGCCATGGTCACTGCAGGCCAGGGGGACAGTCAGCGGGCAGATGCCCTAGGTCCTCATCATGAACTGGGCAAGAAAACAGAGAGCACAGAGTGGTCAGGAATGGTAGCCAAGTAGGTAGGGGCAGTGGTCACTCTGCCACCATAACTTCTTTGCCCAACTGCCAGGAGCCCTCAACACAATAACCAAGGCCCCCTCCATTCACCCATGACTTCTCTCTGTTCCCTCCAGCACTTTCCACCTAGAGGCATTTACCCATCCTCCACACCATGCTCTCCCAGTGTTTCCTGCCACAAACACTTTCAGATTCTCCCTCCATGCCCTGAGAAGAGAGGAAGTCTGCAGTCACAGAATATGACTTCCAGGAGGTCAGAGCTGGCACTCCTCTTCCCCTCTCCATGACTGTGCAGGTGGGAATCCTATTCCCTATCCTCTGGCAGACCCGTTTCCAGCAGCACTCAGTCACTCACTTAATTCTTTTTGGGGTCTGGGGTTACCTAGTTTAAAGGTTTCATCCAAAGAGGAGGGAAGGGTTGAAATAGGCCAGTAGGAGAGACACTGAGATAATTATAAGGCATGGCTCCTGAAGCAAGGGCCTCCAGGGGAGTAGAGGATGGAAGGCTTGCACAGCTTTCTGCCCAGTCTGTTGTGCCCAGGCATGTTTGGATAGATGGGAGATATCAACAGGGCACAGGTTTACCCATCCATCTTGAAGGAGGGATGACCTGGAGAAGTCATTAGAGTGAACCCTGGGTAAGGAAATGAGGCTGATCATTGGAACGGTGTTCAACCAATATTGAAGGAAATCTGGCCAACTCTCCTTTCCATACCAACCAACAACTGAGGATACCACTCTGGCCAGAGACAAGAAATAATGGACACCCAACACTTGGGTGCTCGGTGGAGCAGAAAGGGTTAAGTCTTTGGCTTACCACTGGGAGAGCCTCGTTCAATGGTGCTCAGCTTGAGAAGGAACACTGGCCCTAGTTATTGATGCCACATAGCTTCTAGATAGACTAAGCCCAACTCTCTGCACATAGGCTTCCTGAAAAGGTAAAACCATCCTTGACCACTGGTTCCTAAACAGGCTTTCAGATACTCTGGATGGGTTCAATAGAGAGACCATAGCTTACTCACCATACTGCTGCCCAGCCATATTCTCCTCACACTTATATATCTTAAACTTTTAGACATAAATAAGATTCTGCCTTTATCTCTATTGAATATTATATCACAGGTCTGGGGTCAAGATTTTTTTTTTAAAGATTGACCCTGAGCTAATATCGGTTGCCAATCTTCCTTTTTAATTCCCCTTCTCCCCAAAGCCCCCAGTACACAGTTGTATAGTCTAGTTGTAGGTCCTTCTAGTTCTGCTATGTGGGATGCTGCCTCACCATGGCTTGATGAGTCATGCTAGGTCTGAGCCCAGGATCTGAACCGGCAAAACCCTGGGCCACTGAAGTAGAGCGCGCGAACTTAACCACTCAGCCATGGGGCCGGCCCCAAGATTTTTTTAAATTGTGGTAAAATATACGTGACATAAAATTGATCATTTTAGCCATTTTTACGTGTACAGTTCAGTGCATTAAATACATTCACATTGTTTTGCAACCATCACTACCATCCATCTCCAGAACTTTATTCATCTTGCAAAACAGAAACTCTGTACTCATTAGACAATAATTCCCCACATCCTCCTCCCCTCAGCCCCCGGCAACCACCATTCTACTCTCTGTCTCTGTGAATTTACTATTCTAACTATTTCATAAGAATGGAATCATACAGTATTTCTCCTTTTGTGACTGGCTTATTTTACTTGGCATAATGTACTTAAGATTCAAACATGACATAGCATGTGTCAGAATTTCCTTTCTTTTTAAGGCTGAAAAATATTCCATTGCATGTATATACCACATTTGGTTTATCCATTCATCTGTTGATGAACACTTGGGTTGCGTCCTCCTTTTGGCTATTATGAATAATGGTATTACAAACGTAGGTATACAAATATCTGTTTATAACCCTGCGTTCAATTTTCTTGTGTAGATACCCACAGGAGGTCAAGATATTTTTGAGTCTTGATTCTTGCTGTTTCTCCTAGATTTGAGTCATTAACAGAATGATCAGAATGTCTCCATGGTCTTTACCGACACCATTGCTAAAAATGTTGACCACAACAAAGATGTAGACAGACCAGATGACACAGCTACCTCTTCTGGGAATGCCAAAGAAGTAGTCATTAACCCTCTCAGGCGACACTCCTTCAACCAGCTCTGACTCCACAAACCCACGCTCTTATCTTGCCCTCTTTTCTATAAAGACACCACAGGAGACTTTCCCTAAAGCCTTATGGAACTCAAGATATGCCAAATCTACGGCATTTCCTTGAACCAAGCTCTAGCACTTTATCAAAAAAGATAACTGTTGCATAACCTATTCCTAGTGAACCCAGTGTAACTTCTGGAGAACACTGCTTTATTTCCTAAGCCCTAATAATCTAGCTAATAGTCTAATCTGATCTGGCCTCTCATGTAAGTCATGATACATTTTAATTGTCATTCTAGGGCTTTTACTGGCTCCATTTTATCTTTCTTCATAAACTTTGTGACAGATTTTCTAATAGACCCAGGAGAGCCTCAAATAACACACTATCCGAGGTTGCCTTGTGTTATGGGTTATCTTTTCTGTGTTTACATCTTCGCTCTCCACAGCAATACTGAAGGCTCCTTGAAGGCAGGGACATGTCTCCTGTTCCTTTGACGCCCTCTTCCCCATTTCTACAGCTAATAAAATGCCTTGTGCTTAGTGGGTGCTCAATAAATATTTCTTGGTCAATTGGGAAATGACCTGTGTTCACAGAAAAGGAGGAAAGAAATAATGATTGAAATCTCTGACTCCTAGCAGTTGGCAAGCAATCAGAAACCTTTGTAGGGAACAACAAAGGGACAGTCCTGAGGCTGGGGGCAGGAGAAGTGGCCAGTGGGCTAATGCATGGTGGTGAAGACCTGAAATAGGCTGGTGGCTGAGGAAAACGAGAGGAAGAGAGGCTTTGGGTCTTCCACGGGACTCGACAACCAGTGGCCAACAGCATGAGGCCTGATCATGAGGCTTAGTAAAGCACTAATTCTGCAGGCAGATAGGGGTGGACTCCCCTGGGGGTCCCCTACCCATTTTCAAGTTTGGGATGATGATGTAAAATACAGACCAAGTCCCCTTTGTTTCATCAGCCTCTGAAATGCAGCTACAGCTGGTGGGCAAGACGGCCTTGTTCAGGGCATAAAGCATGGCAAGAAGACTTCCAGAGGCCATGGTGAGGCTGGTTGACTGCATGATGGGGTTCGAGGGAGGGATGGTCAGCGTCTGAGGAGCTGTGAACTCTCTTCCTGCCTTCATCTACCCAACTTCTTCTTGCTCTCCAGTCTCCCTCCTTGTCATCTTTGCCCTGCAGCTCCTGAGCCAGCCTTTGCCAGGGGAAAGCAGGTGTAAGGACAGGGCTGGCCTACAGCTGGCACCCCCTGTTAGTCTTACACCAGCTGTGTGACCCCCTGACTGCTCTGATGGGTCGGTGCCATGCCATACGTGTCATTAAATATTTTTAATGTCTCTCCCCTAAGTATGAGGAGTGAGGTGCAGTGGCCTCAGCAAGAGGGAAGAAGGAGACACAGGCCTTCCAAACAGGAAGTACCGTCCCCACAGAGAAGGGCCTGGGCCCCGGGGGAACGCTGCATATTTGCCCTTTTAAGGGGAGGCCTGTTTGACAGCTCCTCAGTGTGTTTACGTTTCTGAGGACACCCTCCTCCCCATGGTCCCCTGTTAGGGCCCCATCTGAACATCCAAGACTAAAACCACAGGCTGTCAGCTAGGAATCTTCTAGCTTCACGGTAGAGATCAGAAAACTGAGGTGGCAAAGAGGAAAGGTCTTATCTGAGACCACACAGCTAGGGATAGAGCTGGGATTAAAACCCAGGACTGCAGCGCCACTACCCCACCGAGCTGGTCTTCCCACTTCAATGGCCCTTTTACCCCTCTTGCTCCAGCCCCGCCAAGAGCCTCCCTCCATTAGAGAAGGCCAATCTCTACAGCTTAGTTTAGAAACAGCTCCAGTCTCAGAGGTCCCCTCTAGACCAGGAGAGGGTTACAGAGATCCCAAAGGCCCCCTCCTTCTCCTCCATCAGAGAGAGGCTTCCACCTCCCACCATCCCAATTTCTCACCCACCCCTGTTCTAACCCCCTTCACCCCGGCAGAATCTTCCAAGTCAGACGGACTGGGATTTGACTCCAGCTTTGCCTTCCCGGCTGGGTGATCCTGAATGTGTTGTACGAGGTCTTAACCTCTCAGAGCCCCAGGTTCCTCATCTGTGACACCAAGATAATGACAGCATCTTCTTCAGCGGATTTTGGTGAAGAGGGAATGAAATAATATAAGATGCCTGGAGCACACTGGGCACTCACTAAAGGCAGCCAGCACTGCTGCTGGGCCTTCATCGTCATTATCACCAGCAAGGTGAGACCTGCCTGTCCAGAACCTGCAACCACGAGCCCTGCTCCAGGCACGGATGGGGCCACAAAGCTTGGCATGGTAGAGATTAGCCCAGCCAGACTGAAGAAGCTGCCCAGCTTTGCCTTCAGTCATTGGGAAGTCTGGATCAGAGGAGCTGGGCTTTTCCTTGGACTCCGAGCCATCTCTAGTTGGGAGGGTGAACCCTCATCTCTGACCTTGGGCCGGGAGTGGGAAAGATGGAGGTGGCCAGAGCAATTCATTTCTGCAAAATGCCTTTGGAAAGAAGAGCAATGGAGGTTCCCACCTCAAAGTAGAATTGAGAAGCAACATGGAAAAATGGGAAGGATTGGCAGAGCCAAACCCAGCGGACTTGAACTTAGGCCAGAGGAATATAACCTGCCCCCCACACACACCTTTCTATGGAAACTTCCCAACACCAACAGCTCCATGCCTTCCACATCCTGTCTCCTTGCCCCCACCCCTTCTCCCTGTGGGGACAAGGGCCAAGGACTGTCAGTCCCTAAACACAGAGTGACTGGCCCAGGACACCAAACCATCAGGTCAC